TTCATGTGCCATGCATCATATGGTATTATCTTTCAACGATGACATGCAGACAAAGATTTTCACTGACAATACCCGAAAGACAAAGCAATGCTTTTCATTAATGGGCGGATTATAGATTGAAATAATTTTATAAAACAAAGCTGCAGCGAGGGTTTATTCGTTGTTAACACTTTTTTTCATGTATCATCATTGATTGTCTTTTTCCTTAGTTCACTATATCTACCTACAATGTGCTTCATATACTTCTTCAAATTTATGTTTGTATTCCGTTTTGATTTCACCCATCAGATCAAAGTTAGTAGCTTTCCCTCACTGAATTTGCTGTGTACAGAAACTCGACCCTGCGAGGCAAGTGATATAGAGAAGAGAAAATCTGTGGCTGCTCTTAACAACATATTATCTGTTCTTATGAACTACAGTGAGTTGACTAGCAGCTTGGCGACGGAAAAGAAATGCTCTCCACCTAGGACGGCTCTTCTTGGTTCATCATTAACATTATCTCTTGGTAGAATCAAGCAAAGCTTTGTATTGTGAGTTTCTTTTAATGCATTTCTTAAATGTTGTATTTCTTTTTAGGGCTCCTTTAGTAACTCAGACATCATGTTTGGAAGTTTGAATGTGGTTGAGAAGGTATGAGTTTAGTTATGATAGATTGTAATTGAGTGTTTGATTTGTATTTGGACCTAGATTTAGGGTTTGGCTCTCCTTTTAAGACTTCCATAATCTTCGGTGGAGCCAAAGATTAACTTTTTTATCTGGAGAGGACAGGGTGAGATTAACTTTCACTCCCTAGGCCCCACTCTGTGAGCTTTTCACTTGGCTTCTTGTTGTGTTGTGGTTTTCTCTGAAGATGGAGGCATTGTTGCTTTACACTAAAGCTCTAGTTGTAGTTTCAACAACCAATGAAGCAACAACTTGTTGGCCATGTGTGCAGCAATTGTCCCGTGGCGGAGGCTATGTGGGCCAAGTCACAATCGAATATCGTGGACGCTTGTGTGATGAATGCACTATAAGGCTAGGGTATGCGCTTCTTCTAACACCAATTGGTTTTAGAAGAGTTGGTAGCGCCTGAGGTCCTACACAACTTGGGAATGGGTACGATGTCAGGTGGGGGGGGGGAGATGAATTTGTTTGAGGGGCATTTAGGGAATGGGTTTGGGGCATAATTGTTTATAATCAAACTAGAGGTTAATCCCAAACTCATACCTGTTACCCATTCATAGGTGAACCAAACGGGTCCTTGCTCGTTTGATGTCAGAGTGCTTGTTATCTTTTCCATCCTAAAATATTTTCTACTAAATTGCAGAACTGATCCCCACAAACCCGACATGCCAATCGTATATGCGAGCGATGCCTTCTTAAGATTGACAGGTGCCCTGTTAAAATCAACTTTCTCAATTGTTTTTTGTTATATGAGCTTGGCAGTAAGAATGTTGTCTGCGGATTTCATTTGTGTCCATTTTGTTGCTCCGCCTTCTTTAAATAGGCTATGGTAGAGATGAAGTATTGGGATGCAATTGCCGATTTTTAAGCGGTCCCGACACTGATCCCCTTGCTCAGTTTCAGGTGAATTTTTTTGCCCTACAAAAATCTTTATTCTCAATCTTTTTCTTTATTACAATATGGGGTAAGCATTCTAGAAAGTACAACAACTAGAACCCGGTCAGGTCCCACAAGTGCGGTATGAAGAAGGTGGGTGTATGCAAATATTACCCCAGCCTTTAAAGGCAGAGAAACCTTTTCCGAAAGACCCGCTGCAAAAAATAAAATAAAATAAACATTCTAGGATATGTGTAGGGCAAATGGGGAAAGGGTCATGCTATAGTCACACCATAATCACACCACGGATGACACCAAGGTTCACACCACCCGTGTTTCACACATTATGATTATAACGATTTCTCACAGACAAGGTGATTGTCTCTAGTGGGGTCGACGTTGGTGTTATCTCTAAGGTTAAAGTAGCATTTTCCTTATAGAAATGCAAACATACTGCAGTAATAGCAGTTAGTCAATGCAACCTCCGACGCTCATCATGGGTCATCCGAAAACAACCGTTCTATGCTTAAAACATATGGGTCAAGCTGCATATATACCCCCCCCCCCCCGCGGTAGCCCGCCATGGGTGGGAGCCTTTGAAGCACTGGGGTAATGTTGTTGTAAATGCAAAAATACTTGAAACATTTTTATTTACGTTCACTTGTCAATTGTCATCCAGATTAAAGAATGCATTGGAACAGAACAACCATGTACAACATGTATCTTAAATTACAGGTTCGTTTCCAAATGGACATATCGCTCCATGTTGACAATAGTGTCGCTGCATTTTTAGTGTTGAACTTTTGCAGCCTCTATGTTTGCAGAAAAGACAGGACACCATTTTGGAATTTCCTACATATTTCGCCCGTTCGAAATGCAACAGGCAAGGTGAATATCCTTTTGTAGTAATTCGTAATCCATGAACTATGCATTTTCTTTTTACAACATTTAAACAATTTATGCATTGTTTTTCGCGAAAGTCCTCCATTTCTTTCCCCATCTACATGTATATTTTGTGTAGGTTGCGTACTTTGTTGGCGTTCAAATTGAAGATGCAGACCATAGCCAAGAGAAACATGGGCCGGAACCCGATAGGAGCCAGCTAAGTGTTGTCGCTGCTGTCAAGGTTGCTGTGAGAGGCTCTTCCATGGCCACCTTGCCATAGTTAGTTCTCATACATAGAGAAATATAATGTGATCTGCTTTGGTTTTTCTTTATTAAGGTGTTTATCAGGGCTCCCTGATATATATATTGCCACTTTGGGATAGATAGAGACACGTGCGTTTTACACCATGTTTGGTTCAAGAAATTCAAAAGCGAAAAAAAAACGGTACGAAAAAAATTTCGTCACCAATTTTCCTACTACCCGAATAAGATTGAGATATCGGTTTCTTCAACTTTCTTTTCCTTACCTAAGCATTTTCCTTTCTTCTGTAATTCCTCGAACCAAACGTAGTGTTAGGTTTGTAAGCCACATTCATTGTATATTTTCTGTGATGTGGCATTTGAAATAAAGTCACAAACTCTCTCTCTATTTCTCTTATTGCATTGACCATTCTGCCACTCTGTAAGATTTCAATCACAACATTTACTCCCTCCCCTTTATTGGATTGAGCATTCTCCTACTCTATTGAGAACATCTCCATTTTAGGAATCTCACTTTCTTTTCTATAAATGGGACTCCCCTTTGTTGCAATGAGCACAAACATTTCCTTAAAAGAAACGATGCATCAGGAGCGTTCTTTGACATTGTGTATGACAAGAAAGATATATGATCGTTGTGAAATTACATTTTTAGTCATCAAATTAACACCAAAATGTCAAAAGATCAAAAAAAGACTATTTATGCAAAGATACTTATAAAAAAGGAATCACAGTCGTAATATTTGAAATTAGAAGACTAAATATGAAAAATCTCATATTATAAAGAACTAATTAGGGATAACACAGTATTCAAAACAATTATGAAATTTACAGAATACGGCGGGAAATTCTGATCGAATCAACGGCGGCGGCAGGAATTCCCAGAAACAGCAAAGAAGAAAACAGAGACAGAAGCCCAGAACAGTGTCCAGAGAAGAAATGTCGCCGGCTTCTCCTCCTCCACGGCGAAACCCATTTCTCCGATTGTTCCAAGAACATCATCGTCTCTAGATGTTCCTGGGATCGAGATATTTGGGAAATTTGAGTTTTTGGAATGACCTAGGTAAGCGAATTGCTGAGATTTAGCGAAATGTTTGGATTTCAGGCGAAGTTCCCCTTTATTCACCAAAGAAAAGGCTATAATGGGCGATTGTAGTTTGGGTTTGGATTGTTGAGAGCTTCCATGTATGGTGCTCCGGAGTGCCGTCTTAGTGGAGTGTGAAAGAGAAGTTGCCATATCTCGGTCAAAAAGAGAGGTTCTAGTGTCACCACATTGCAGTGTGCCATTAGAGACCTAGATATTTATTTAGTCCTTCATTTTCAAATTAAAGTGTTTGTTTATTATTTACAAGGTTAAATTTTATTTATTTTCTTTTTTTTAAATTTTATTAGTCATTTGATAAAATAAAATAATCATGTCACTACTAATTTTGTAGATCTTTTGATAAAGTTTTTTAAGTATCTGAGTAATTTTTATTTATTAATTCTACACCATTTTTTTTATAAAATGATTTGAAAATAACTTTTGTCAAACGTCATAAATCGAAATAGATGATTTAAACTGGGACGGAGGGAGTACAAACGTGATAATGTATTCCTCTACCTTACCAGTAAACTCCCAATTTAGTTGACCTGAATCCACCATCGTAAATAAGATCTCTCAAGTTTAGTTGACTTTGGACTTGAGTAATTGAATCCAAAATCAACTAAATTTGTGGGGTTCAGTTGATTGGGTGGGAGTGAGTTCCGGTTAGCCCAGGTAGAAATCATCTATTTTACAAACGAAGCACCATAAGTTTTCCAAAATCATAGTGGTATTGCACTTGCACCGTATTTCAATGGCAACGGAGCCGTGCCCATCTCATTTTAACAAGTGGGATAGTGACTTTACATTCTACTCCCTCCATCCAGGTATATTAATTTAGTTTAACTCTTTCTAGTTAAAATAGATGAATGTTAATCATTAATTGATCCCAGTTTGTATTGAATTTTTATAAAAATGCAATTTAATTTGAGACAGAGAGTACATTCATTATGCATTGTAGATTAATACGAGCAAAATTTCCAAAAAATGACATCGTTTGTCAATATTTTAATTTTATATTACTACTTGGCTTAATGATAATTTGTTTTTGATTTCTTCAAACGATAAAAGAAAAACTATTCCTTAACATTTGAAGCATATGCAGTATGGTGGAGTACAAAATGTAACAAGTAACATATACTAGTATATGACATCACAGATAAAATCAAATAGTGTGAAAGGACCAAATAGACATGAGCAACATAAGCCATCCATAGGATTTGAGAATTCCATCATTGAACCTGTGTGTTTTTTTGGATGAAAGGTAGATTTATTTACTTAAAAGAATAAAAAGTATACGAACAAGATGAATGTGGTATACCCCTACCAAGATACAACACTTGCAAACAAAAGTTCTTATCCTTTCGCGCAAGAGTACTTAACGTGCCTTGTAAAGTATCGAGGATCTTTTTTTGACGATGGATCACCTTTATCTTGGGATGCACAATGCATACTCGAGATAAAAAAAGGTTACTCCGGTGATGGTAAAGGTTCTGAGAACAATAGAAAAAGGATGGAAGATTATACATGCTAACCATTCCTAATTTCTTATGACAAGAAGTATAGGTGCAATCATATTTAATTCGCCGGCCTACCTTAACTACAAGCCCCAACACATTTGCAAAGGCTCCATATCTTGAGATGTTATACTTGGGGATAGGGCTGATAGACACACTCAAAGATGCAAGTTCAAATGGAGCTCGAAAGGTGTGGTGCATTAGTGTTTGTGAAGCAATGATAAAGTACCTTAATGTGAGCTGTCACTAGAATAGCTTGACAGCTCCCATCTTGAAAGTAGTACATTTGTCAATAGCTTGACAGCTCCCATTAAGGTACTATTGCTTCGCAATCGCTAATGCATCACTCCTTTCGAGCTCTATTTGAACTTGCATCCGTGATCGCCTGTCTAAGGGCTTCACTAAATTCTCAAGTATAATGTCTGAAGTCATGAAAACTTTCCAGATGTGTTACGGCTTGAAGGCCGGGGAATCAAATATAATTGCACCTATGCATCTTCTTCTCATAGAAATAGTCAACATGTATGACCTTCTATCGTTCTTCAATAGTTCGTGGAACGCTCACATCCCGAAAAACCTTCTTCATCTTGGGTATATGTATGGTGCATCGAGCAAGCATTCTCGATACTCCACAGAGCACATTAAGCATCTTTGCACAAAAGAATCTGGATCACCTTAGGAAGCTCTTAAGAACACGTACAAGATACAAACGACTTACAGAATATCGATCTTAATTTGTGCTACCACTTCAATTGGACTAACTTGGACAGTCCATAAAGATATCGTTTCACATCCTCCAAAGTGTATGGATAGTATACGAGAAAGTGTTCGTGTTCTACCATAGTCGTTACGCATCCCTTTATCAGCACTAAATAGAGTCATCATCTCTCTTTCCAAGCAAACCATCTCTGCACATCTTCAAAAAAATGGGACACTAATTCATGTCATCATCACAGATTCATAACCAAACATACTAAATTCCCATCAATGTCAAGAAAATCCAAATTGCCTTTAATTGACAACCTGTCACGAATGCGAAGCCACCCGATTAAAACAGGTTTTAAGAGTAGGTCGAAGTAATGACTATTTATTCGATAAGACATAAAGTAGAATTTATTCTCCGCCCTTAAAGAAAAATAAATAACAATTTATTATTAATGTAGATGACATGAATTCGGTGTTACAAATTCTCCTCCCTTAAAGAAAAACTTGTCCAACAAATTCAACAAAATAATCGAAAGAAAAACATGTACTGCTTCAATATATATTGAAGTCTTTGTTTCCCAAGTCATGTGTGGGAATATTAACATGGAAGCAAACTCACCACACTAAGACACAACCAAGGAAACAAGAAAGCTCAACGAAATAACATATATCAAACAAACCAAAGTTGAATTTTTATTGTAATTAGTTCATTCTTAAATTTCTTAAATCATTTTTCTCTTCAATAAACAAATTTCAAAACTCACTTTTCATTTTTCAACTCTTGTCTTAAGTTCTACGAAGCTCAAAGTCTCAGGTTCATTATGAGATGGAGGGAGTAATTATTAACGATCAAAGTGTTGCATAATAAATCATGAAAAGTGAAATGGGCAAATAAATTGGGGGCCATTGTCATACTATGATATTGGCCCATTTGAGGCTCTTATGTTTGCTTCGTTGGAATCCAAAACTTTTAGGAGAAATTTGGTATTGATTCTCAAAGAAAGGAGGGGGCCTAGGGGGGGCTGGGATGGGGTGCAGGGGGCGGGCTAGGGTATGGGGCAGTAACTACTCCCTCCATTCTTTTTTAATTCATTGTATATTTTTATATATAGCTAGTCAAAGGTTTGACACGCAAAGCAGACCGTTAAATAGGAATGGAGGGAGTACATTAGGTCGAGTGGAGTACCGTATAGGCCTTAAATGGACACAATGCCATGGTATGACATTAAAATCTGATGTCATAAAAATCATGGTGAAGTTTATTAACACGCCATTATAAGTTGATGGTATACTTAAAATTGAAAAGGACAATTTCTTAATCTTCGTGCCAAGTCAAAACTAGAAGAGCTTAATTGTGATCTAATTTTGAGATGAAAGGTATTAATTAAACTACTTATACTCTTAGAGTAAAGATTTGAAGGGATTGTTCAAGGAAATTATTATGAAATCTCAAAAACTACAAACGGTAAACAAGATTTGAACTTTGAAGTCTCAAGTCAAAGCTTAAATCCAAAAACTATACACGGAATTGATGAAATTGGAATTGAATTGGAATTAGAATTCCATGGGATTCAATTCCATAGAATTGAATTCACCAATTCCAATTCATTTTTTGCACTATCAATTCCAAATCTAAATAATTTTTGTGCTACCAAACACTAGAATTGGAATTGAAGTCCTCAATTCCAATTCCATAATTTGAATTCCGTGTACCAAACGGGGCCTAAACGGCAATCAACGTAATTCTTCGTAGCTTAATAGAAGCAATGATGTATACAATATCAGATACTTTCTTCATTGTTCATGTAGTGAGTAGATATCAATGTAGCCCACCTAGGTGGTCTAACACATTGGAGAATATTTCAGAGAGCATTCAAATATTTAAAAGTAGATCTACATTCTTAATGCAAAAAGAAACGGGTTAGGAACATACATGCAGATTACTGAAGCAACCATCCATCATTTGTCACCCCTATTTACAGAATCCAGCCGGCTAAGAGGAGTTTGTTGAGGCATAAGATTAGATCTTACATTTAGCTCCTCAAAAATTTTCTTCATCTCAATGATAAGCTCAGTCCTCCGTCTGTTTTTTTCTCCAAATTCTTGAAAGTTCATTGTATGATTACAATAGAGAGTCACCTTCAGTTTACTCTCGTTCTCAGTTTCTTTCACTACAAGATTATGAGTAGGATACCAGTGTTGAGGGTTCATCTCTATATACCTGATAACACCCGCAATCGTCATTAAATAAATCCCCAAAACAAATTTCACATGAATAAATGTCAAGAACAGATTGCAAAATCATGCTTTCTCACTTCACAAGATTTAGTTGACTTTGGAGTCAAATTTTGACTCCAAAGTCAACTAAATCTTGTGGGTGCAATTGATGGGGGTGGGGGTGGGTTCAGGTCGGGCCGAGGTGGGGGGTTTACCGGGGAGTAAGAACCATCAATTTTTTGAACAGAGCATCGTGGGAACGTCCCCCCTTATTTTTTTGAAAAAAAATTAAAAATATGTTTCTTTCACTAAATATTCTTATAATTATTTTATTTCATTTTATTTTAGCAGTATATATACATGTATTTGTATAATAATAAAAAATACTAAGGTATTATATTTGTTGTTATCATTACTATTACTATTATTATTAGAACGGGTCGAGCCAGCGTGCGAGCTAACATAAAACCTGAGCCTGGCCTTTAAGTTTGCGAGTCCCTGTTTTTTATGAACTGGGTAAACCTGTACCTTAAAAATCAATTCCTAAACCCATTATTTTGCAGGAGGGCTTTTGCTGTTTGGCCCGAGACCCGGGCTCATGATGGTGTTTACACTAAATAATTTAAATAAGTTACTTATTAAAATATTTTATAAAATATTTCTCCATGTTTAAAATACTAACAACAATTTCTGATAACAAATAAAACAAAGAATATATTAGCATTGCAATTTGCATCTATGAATGCAGAACAAGCTAATTTCAAAGATTTTTTTAACTCATTCCTTAAACTTGCCTCTTGGAAATTGCCAGCAATTTGCATCTATGAATGTAGAACAAGCTAATTTCAAAGATTTTTTTTTAACTCATTCCTTAAACTTGCCTCTTGGAAATTGCCTCTCTAATGTTAATGTCAAGTAAGGGTAGGGGTAAAATATGTGAACACACCCACCATAGATCCTACTTTTGTGGGATTTAACTGGATTTGTTGTTATTATTATTCTTGAAACTCATTCCTTAAACTCGTGCTATTTCATAAAGTGAACAATGAAATCCTAATAGACTATATGATAAAAAAAAGTCGTAAGTCCATAATAAAATGTGTCCATCCCACAAAGAATTTTCACTTTGACTTCACGGAGCTCGAAGGATATTGTTTAGAAGAGAGAGAAATGTTATGAACCACATATTTCTTTCCTTTAAGGTAGTGTTTGGCAATTAGCATTTCATTTCAATTCATGCATTTCAATTCCAAAATTTGAAATCTTGAATTTCAAATGACAAGGGGAGGTTCATGGATTTCAAAATAAGCTTTGTTATGAATGAGGAGAATTTGACTCAAATCCAAATTCAAAATTTTTAAGTTTCCCAAACATCAAATTTGAGCCAAATCCGGATTTGAAATCCAAATCCATGTTCCCAAACATACCATAAAGGAAATGAAAAAAAATGGAAAGTTTACTTTGGAATATATGTAAAAGACTATAGGGAGAGTGGGAAATCTTTGTGGGCGGAGGGAATAAAGGGGTAACTATGATAGGAAAAAAAACAAAAGAATAATAAGGCAAAAACAACTTACTTCTTAATCCTTTCTTTCAGCACTTGAATCTTCTCGAGTGGTATTGCAAAATCAATAGTGAATTCAACCGAATCACCCATATCTGGACTTCTGTTATAATTGCTGATAGCTTTTGTAGCCAAAAATGAGTTTGGATAGTAAACTTTTTCATTGTCCACCTTCAAGAAAACTGTTGTAACGATGTCCATTTCTTCAACTACGAGCTGGCAAGTGATAAAAATGAAACTGATTATTATAATTCCTCAACATCATGAAACACAAACGGAAAAAAGACGAATGAAGGAAGCATCACTTTCAACTAACCTGAACACCATCGATAACACATCGATCGCCAACATCATAAGGATGGACCACAAATACGAATATGGCAGACTCAACTATACTCTTGCAAGTGTTGCCAAATGTAAAACCTATAGCAGTTAAGAATAAAGCAAGAGTTTCTGCGGTTGTAATCTTCAACAACAGGAGCCAAATAACAATGCTCACAAGGAAAAGCATCCCGGACACAATTGTGTTCAATTGCTTAATGGCAGCTTTGGTGTCAGTCAATGCATGTGCGAGTACGCGCCGCTGACGAAAAACCTTCGCCTGTAAAAAGTTACAAAATATGGCAGTTAGCTGGTCATAAAAGCTTCGCTCTTCACCTTTTATTTCACAAGTTTTTGTGTTAAATATTCTAAAAATAGTGTTTGATTTGGTCAACATAGGCCCTGTTCTTTTGGGTTGGAATTTTAAACTTGGATGTTTGAAGAAACTGGAAGGAGTTGGAAGAAACTGGGTTGGAATTTCAAACTTGGATGTTGGAAGAAACTGTTAGGAGTTGAAAAATGTTAGAAGAATTAAAGGGTTAAAAAGCCACTCAATTGAATGATCACCCAAATAAATATGCAAGAAAACTCTAATTTTGGATAAAAAAGAATTTATCCTTGTCGGGGTTTGAGAAGGTATGGTATAAATTTGGATATATAATGTTATTGTATATTCTATATATATATATATAAACACCTTTTTTAAAATGTTGGAATAAACTAGGAGTTGGAAAAAATTGGAAGCTAATTTTTCCAATCCAAAATAACATGGCCTTAATGATATGTCGTACTTTTGCCAACTGATGCACCACAAATTATTAACTATTGTTGTGTACTTAAGCTATATTATTACATCATAATTATCATTCATATTGCTAAGAGCATAAGAGATGTCAAAATTGATGGTATCCCAATGAGACTTTAGACAATCTTCTCTCACATTAGTCATAATGTGCATTTATACCTAAAAAAGATCCACAACATAGAACATAAAAAAATTAAAGAACTCTTACCACCCAGTCTATTAGAGATCTTTTGTCAATGCGCCCCATATCAGACCTATCAATGGAATGAAAAACCATATCCACCTCCTCCTTGATTAAGAATCTTGAGAGGTCATCCTCATCAATGTACCTTGTAATGACAATGTTAAGAAGAGAAAGACACATACAAAAGTAACACGAAAACATAGGCAAGTAGCGGGGAGACTAACTCACTTAGAACCGGGCTGAACAACATTCTTAAAGATATGGTAACCAGCCGCTATTGCTTCCATCTCATTGGAAATCTCTCTATCGGTAGCATCATCAAATTCATCTGATGCATTGCAGCTAATTAATAAAGAGGAACCTGTGAGTCCATCAACCATAACCTTTACAGTCCATGCTGAGACATTTTCACGGTTAGAAGGATGGATTGAGGCTATTTCTTGATTTCTATTAGCAGCAATCGTAATTCTACTACTCTTAACCTTTTCGTTGACCCTAGAGCTAGAGTCAAAGGTCAGCATCATCTCAATTAGTGGAGGGCCCGAGAGGGTTTGGATAACATATTGATGAAAAAGTGATTCCTGAATTCTATCAAAGTATGCATTGAGGTGGAGTCTAGATGTCAAAATTGTCAAACACAAGGTCTTCAATACCCACAAAAACGAACCGACAAGAAGAGCAACTAGAGTTGAAGATACAAGGTTAACAATTTTGGCAGCAATTTTAGAACGTTCCACTCCGTGATTAAACAAAGAAACCCAGGTACCGAAAACCACGCTGATCCAAACGAATGCCTGAACACTCCTCTTCAAAGCCTGAAATAGATAGAGAACCTTCTTCTTGAGAAAAAAATTCCTCTCGATCGAGAAAAGCACGAGACACATCAAGGACCGCGCAAGAAACAGCCCGGAGAAAACCTCCATTGCAAGCAGACACCACTTCCAAAGCTCCAATTTCCAGATCACAGACCGTCTAAGCCTCCCAATGCTAACAATGGCTAACAAGCAGCTCGAAATGGCCAGAAATACAACCAACTGAAATACACTCAGCTTTCTTACTCTCCTAGGGTTCTTTCTACTCAACTCAATCTTCTTATAAATCTCCTCATCCTCCTCCTCGTCTTCCTCATCATCACCGCGGCCTATTGGCCGAGGAGACGCCGGAGTGCGTGGTCCAGAGTGCAAGAGATGGCTTTCTGGAGCCCGATCTTCCGCCATATCCGGAGAAGCTTCGCCAGAGATTGCTATAGACACCTCTTTGGGGGAACTCTTCATCTGTGAAACCCTGATTCTGTCGCCTTCTTGGCCTTTCTCTACCTCACCATCCGGCGCCATCAGATCCCATAGAGTGTGTTCATCTCTGAATTATTATAATATTACGAGATGGCGATAAGAGTCCATGAATTGAGAGCTGAAATGCAGGAAGAGAAGACAAGCGCCCATAAGGACAGCGGGCGGCTGTATTAATGCAAGGCCCTACCATCCCTACCGCTGTATTGAAGGAAGAGAAGATCAAAGCACAGAGGGTCAACGCAGCTTTATTAAATGCGGGAAGGGAAGAGAAGCTCTGCCGGCGGCCGCCGTTGATTGCTCTTCCCAGCGGTGGTCAACAGTGTCTGTCGACATTTTATGGGGCCAAATTAGAAGTTGAGTTAAAGTAGGGGTGTTTAAGTATTCGGTATTTAAAAAATGAGAAAGAAGGCTGATTTCTATATGCTAATACTCTCCCCCAATTTTTGTCTACTTTTGACTTTTGTAACTGTTCATCTAAGCATTTTGACTCATCAAATTCTCTCAATGTGTAAGCCTAAATATAGTCATGTGTGATCTTGTTTGATTTGTCTTAACATATAGATTATCAATATATAATTTCTATAATTTTTTAATATACAAATTACAAGATAAAATGGATTAAAGAAGTGCACTGATGGTGTGTAAAAATGAAAGTGGACAAATATTCTGGGACGGAGAGAGTAAATACAAAAATAAGTTGAAGAAAACATGGTAGAGAAGATTATGGAAGGTTCAGGTTGCTTCAAAGGTCAAAGTTTGTCTTTAGGAAAAATGTTCTCCAGACGATTACTATGTTGAATACCAAATGTATGGGTTCGGAGAATGTGCGCCCGCTTTGTGGGCAATCGGTGGAGTGTGGCTTTGTTCCGTACGCCTGATCTAATTAAATCTGATCTGAATTTTTTGAAGTTCTGATCTGATTGGATCTGATCTGATTGGGTCTAATCTGATCTAATCTGATCTCATTGGATCTGATTTTATCAAACTAGATTTTAGTGTAAATGAATATAAATTTTATTTAAATTAAACTTAAAATTATGACAAAATTTAACAGTTTTAAAGTATTACAATTCATATATACATAAAAAAAGTAAAATAAGAAAATCAGCTAATCATTGATATGTTTAAACTTTTTAAAAAATATTAAACATCTAACATCTTTTCAATATCACAACTTTTTTAATTTTTGTGAAAACTAAATAACCCGTATTAAAATAACCAAATATTAGAAAATATTGATGCTATTCTACAAAAATATCACATTCTATATGCATATTACGCAATAATATATATCATGTTACAAATTAAAGATCATATACAATTTTAAACACTAATATCCCTTTCACCTCTATCAATTTTGTCATATTCCCTCCGTCCCAAAATGTAAACAACAATTATTATTTCGACATCTCGATAACTTCTATTTATTTACTCATTTTGATTGACTATTTGATAAAATAAAATATCATTGTCGCATCTTATTTTGTAGAATTTTTAATCTATTTTTGAACAATCTAATTTTTAGTATTCATTTCTCTACCAATCTGTAAATAAAATCATTTTAAAAGAGATAATATTTTATACATCCTTCTAAATATTATTTATATTTTGGAGCGGAGGAAGTAAACAAGGAGTATAATAAAAAAAAGTTGTACAATACAAATGTTATTTAGATTTCTGATCAATAATTAGATTTCTGATCAGTTGTTGCCGGATTGGTCTGAAAGTAAGCAATGGAAGAAAGCGAAAGATTGAGAGACGAAGAAGAAGGAGAGGAGGAAGAGGAGATATGGAGCTGGGGAGCGGGCACAGAGGGCCAGCTGGGAACGGGGAAGCTCTCCGACGAGCGCCGCCCTCAATTGATTCGTTCTCTCTCCTCCTTTGGCCCCGTCTCTCTCCTCGCCTGCGGCGGCGCTCATGTCATCGCCCTTCTCTCAGGTCTCTTTCTCTCTTTATTGTTATTCATTAAGCCCTTTAGGTTTTCTACTCAATTACTCCCTACTTGCAAATTTAGATCGCATGTATTTTCAATACAATTAATTTGAGATTTGGATCAGAATCAAAAAAAAATTTACCGAGCATATATATTTAAAAAACTACATAAAAAATTATTCGAAACAAGATGTAACATGAGTATATTATTTTATGAAAAGAGTGACAAAAATAGAAAAGAAAATGAGTAAAGTTTGACTCTATAAAAATAGTAAACATGCAACTTAATTTGGAAAAGTACTACGGAGTTAAACATACTGTATATGCCAAAGTATGACTTTCAAAATGTTACTCCATGCTAGGTATTGTATCAAAATAGGAAATATAATTGTTAATATATAATGCCAAAAAACATTATGAAATTCCAACTTACAAATACTCAATGCCAATTTCTAAAGTTGAGAGACTGTTTCCAAGAGATGCTCAAAAGAGAAGCATTGCAAGCAACACAACCCCTGTCCCTTGCAAAAGACACAGAGATTGTTTTTTTAGAGCCTTGATACATTGCTGCGTTCACTACCAAGTACCAAAAACTTCAATATGTGATTTTGAACTAGTCTATTATTTACAGGGACCTAAAACAGTGTCTCTTTTGGCTCCATTGGCAATGGATCCAAAAACCACTCAACCGTATCGAGTGGCAATCATCTAAGAAATTGAAACCCAAAGACTCTTTGTTTTGAAAAATCGATTGAAACAGAATACTGTCTCCATTATCTTATAAAAAGGGTCATGATTGTAAACATATTTTTCTCCCAAAAACCGATTTGATTGAAATAATCCGGTTTTCATTATATTTAATATTTTTACATTAAAAAAAGTGTCCCAATCAAGTTGAAGGTGTTCTATTTAGGTAAACCAGCAAAAAGATGCTTTAACAATATACTCCGTAGCTATATTTCATGATTTCAAAAAGTTTTACATTACTGAAATTAGAAATTTTTAAGTTTGTGAATAAAGATTCTTTTTTTATGGGATAAAGGAGTAGAAGTTTGAATCTTGATGGTTGGGGGTTTGCAGGTGGAAGAGTGTTGACATGGGGTAGGGGTTCATCTGGGCAATTAGGCCATGGGGAAGCTGTTAACAGTCTGCAACCTAAGGCTGTTGAGGCTTTGGTAGACTCTGTTATTAAATATGTTTCTGCTGGGTGGAACCACTCTGGTTTTGTTTCAGGTATGCTCACTTCTCTCTTTCGCTTTTGTTGGTGTCTTCATTTGATAAAGGGCACCCTGCCGCAGGAGGGTCTAGGGTAGGGTCCCACACAAAGGTGTTGTACATTGCATTTCCGAAATAGACTGCTTCGAGGAATCCAACTCATGACCTAGGCCACACAGAAACACCTCAACTCGTGCCCCAGAGCCTGAAATACTCTCTCCGTCCTTAAAAAATGTCAGATATTTATAGAATACAAAATTTTGGAGACACCATTTAATCATTTATTCATGTTGGAACTTGTGCATTTACTTTTGAAAATCATCATCAATTTTTTTCATTGGCCATCATCTCCAAGGATGCAATAAATAAAGATATGAAGTAATTCCAAACTGGAATTAGTTGGCCATGTGTGCATCAATTGTCTCGTGTCGGAAACTCTGTGGGCCAAGTCACACTCGAATGTCCTGAGCGCTTGTGTGTGCTGAATGCACTATAAGGTTAAGCTATGCGCTTTTCCCAACACCAATTGGTTTAAGGAGAGTTGGTAGCACCTGAGGTCTTACAGAATTGACAAGTTATACGGGACATAAAAAAGTAAAATTTTTGACATTTTTTAGGGACAGGGGGAGTAGTTTCCAATCCCAAACCTCTTTACGCACCTTATGTTTATCTGTGTTTTTCATTGGAAGTGCTAATTCAAACTCCGCATTTTGCTTTCCATTTGATTTGATGCTAGAGAGCGGTCACCTTTTCATGTGTGGAGATGGTACTTTTGGGCAGCTTGGCCTTGGTGATCATTTATCTCACTCTTCTCCTGTAGAAGTACCATTTTTTAGGTCTAAACATGTCAAGCAAATTGCTTGTGGCATGCGACATTCACTTGCTTTGGTCAAAGGTATGCTCCCCAGGTATTTTATGTCTGCATCCAAAAATAGTTGTGAGGAAAGTTCACACTTCACATTATAGTTTTGAAATGCTTTGGCTTCATGAACTGAAAGAGGTTACTGTAGGTAATATGGGAAATCGTGTTTATGGATTCGGGTCTGGAAAACGTGGTCAACTGGGTATATCTGATGGTAAAGTAAGGTCAGTTGCTGTTCCTCAGGTCACTTTGGGCTTGGAAAATCTCTCAATCAACATCATTTTTGCAAATGGAGACCATAGTGCAGCGATATGTGGTAAGTGTCTAAAGCATTAGTAGACACACACAGGTAATATATAGTACAGAATTTAAGTTTCAGCTGTTATGAATTATGATATGTAATCATCCCTAACACTATGTTTGGTTCAAGGAACGTGAAAGGGAAAAGAAAAGAAAATAAGATTGAAAACCATTTTTCTTGTTTGGTTAGATGGGAAAATAAAAGAAAACTGGAAGGAAAAGGAAATAAGAAGGCAAAATGTACTGAGAGGAGGGAAACCCAACTTCCTCCAATTTTGGTGGGGAAAATGAGAGAAACCCATTTTCTTTTCTTTTCTTTTCCTTCCGAATTCTTCGAGCCAAACATAGTGTAATTGTTATGCAACTCTTGCTGATTCTTGCATGCTTCGTACCTTGCTTTCCAAATATTTGTCATGTTAGCTGATGGACATTTCTATACATGGGGAAGAGGTTTCGGTGGTGACTCAGATATGTTTATGCCCAGGTGTGTTACAGTGAGGCCGTCATTCAGCAATGCTTCTCTAGGATGGAATCATGCTCTTGTATTAACAGGTAACTGGTTCAGTCACATCGAATATAAACATTCTGCCATGCTGCTTTGAGCAGCGAAGTAAAACTTTTTTGGCCTTGGGGAGACTATGAAAGGCATTTAGTTGGTCTTTCCTATTATAAAAACCTTCCAACATAATGTGGTCCAACTGTTAGGTGTTAGCGGTTTGTGGTCCAAAAGTTTTGTAAACCCGAAAAACTATTCCAATAAGCTTGAAAAAAAGTATATATAAACCAGCTTTTTGGGGCAAAAAAGTTTTTACCAGATACTTCTAATTTTTGTCATTCTAGACTTCTAGCTAAAAGACACTTTTTTTTATAGAAAAGCTTCTTACCAAACATCCTCTTTATGTACTCCCTCCGTCCCTTTTTGATCTTCCCAATTTGCTTTTTACACAGAGTTCAAGAAAAATTTGTGTGGTTGGAATTTGTGGAGAGGAGAGAGAATTGATGCGAATCAAACAATTCTTTCCTTAACAGGAAATGAGAAGATTAATTAGTGACATCCTAAAAAGGAAAGCATGAAGATGAAAAAGGGACATAGGGAGTATTAATTTCTTCATATTTTTGTTAACAATTTTCAGGTGATGGAGAAGTGTTGATGATAGGTGGCTATAACTATGATGGTGCTTCTAGTGCTCAAAAACCACAGGTGATGGAAAAAACAGGTAAAGGCGGCGGTTTGTGGCCTTCATTTTTTCTAATAACATCACTGTCACTTGCACTATGTTTGGTTCAAGGAAATGGGAACGAAAGAAAAAGAAAATGATTTCTCTCTTTTTTCTTACCAAAATGGAAGGAATCATGTTTTCCCTCTTCTTAGTTTATTTTTGCTTGTCATTTTCTTTTCCTTCCACTTCCTCTCTAACCAAATATAAAGATTGTTTTCCATATCATTTTATTTTCTCTTCCCTTTCAAGCTTTAAATTCCTTGAACCAAACATAGTGTGCGGTTTGGGTAATCGCTACATGATAATCAATATTGCTATAGGAAATGAAGAGATTGTTCAGAAGGTTGATGCTCTCGTTGGGGTAAAGGTTCTCCAAATTTCTGCAGGAGCTGAGCACTCGGCCTTGGTAACAGGCAAGCATCTTACCCAAGTTGAAAATGAAACGATACTTAGTTGATGATTAGTGCCCTCACTTTACTTAATTATGTATAAAGCGGCATATGCCATGTCATTTACAGACGATGGATCGGTAATGACATGGGGATGGGGTGAACATGGTCAACTTGGCATGGGAGATACAAATGATCAAGCTCTTCCCCAAGTGGTTACTATACTTGGCAATTACAAGCATGCTAAGAAGCCATTTGTTGCCAAAGTTTACTGTGGCAGCGGATTTACCTTTGTCGTAAGGAAGAAGGCTGTAAATTATCGGTATTAATTCACAACATCCTAACTGGATCAATAGGTGTTTTTTAGATCTGTTTTACATCAATATGCAGTGTTGTTTGACCTCAAACTGGGTTCCTAGCTTCTTTTAATAGTACTTGTACTGATAAAAGTGGTTCCATTTTGTTTTGTTAAGTATTTATTGGTGATGAATGCCATGATATCTGGATGTGAGTTTGAAGCCAAAAAGTATCTAAGAGCATCAGCAGCAGCGATCCAAACATTTGCCACGCTCTGCCACATCGGATTGAAAGCTATCCTTACTCGCGTGGCAACATCTTTTCTCCACGGTAAGCAAGGCTGATGCGAGGCACTCTAAGCCTATTTTTTCTTTTTTTTTCCTTTTTTTAGAGAGAATTCCTCAAAAAAAGAAAAAAAGAGAAAATGTTTTCTAGAAGGAAGTAGAACTACTTTTTACTCTCTGTCTCTTAATAGATTTAAATTTTTTTCATTCCTTGATAACTTTTGTTTATTATTATTTTTATTGATTATTTAATTAAAAAAAATTTGTCACATCTTTTTTTGTAAAACTTTTGATGTAATTTTTAAATGTATAAGTTTTATTTTTAATTCTTATACCAATTTTTAAATAAAATGATTTTTAAAAACAAAGAGTTTTGCATCGAAATTCTAAAATAATAATCTAATTTGAGATGAATGAATAAATACAAATATGGAGTAGATAAAAAAACATTTTTAATAATTAAAATATTAAAAAATTTATTTATTTGAGTAAATAGAAATATTTTCATGATAAAAATATACAAGTAAAATTATTTTTAATAATTCAAATATGGAAAAAATATAAAAAGAAGTGATGAAAACAATGACTTGCCACTGCAAGGCATGCCGCTCCACTCACGTGCCACTCGTTGACTGGACTGTTTTTTATTGGTTGACATGCTCCATGTCAGCATGTGGCATTCCATTTTTGCCTCACCATTGTTCATGCTCTAAAAGCAAGCTTGTTCAGTGTTCTTATGGAACCAATCAGGTCACCAAGTTTAAAAACAGCCACAAGAACTGTTACACTGCACAAAACTGTAAATACCCTCCCTTCAAACCAAACACGCCCTAAAATGATAATCTGTATTGACTAAATGCCTCAGTTTTTACATTGTAGATATCAGCAGGAAATTTTACATGCCACTCGGGCTTAAGCCTTAAAGGTACACATACACCGCCACCGAGTCTACTGTAGAAGACGACATTGTATCAGTCACTAGGTAAAGACTTCAGTGCCTGAAAGAAGCCTATATCTATCCTAGGATTCCTACCTGTATATACACATGTACAGAAAGAATGTGCTCCGTAATTGATTCAGATCATCAGTGGTAAAAATGTTCCTTTCAGTAGAGAGAATTCGTCAAAAAATGCAGTGCTAAAGTTGCTATTATGTGTCAAATCCTGAGAAAAGAATGGACTCTGATCCAATGCAGAGTTGCTGCAATCCCAAGAGCCATCTTGTAACATGCTTTTATTTATATGTTTATATAATCACGAGAAGATTATTTTCATGCCCGTGGTTTTGGACGACAGGGCGTAAAGGATCGACCCTCCATTTGCCATCAACAATGAATTTGATCTACACATAATGCAGTGCTCAGTTTTCAAAAGGGAAAAAATTAGATGATGATGATGGGGGTCTTACCTCATATTTGCCAGGATACAAGAGCAAGGTCAAGGAAAAAATTCCAGCACTTGATTTCTCCATCTTCCTCTGCACCACTTTAACTGTTTATTATCATTCATGCTACTAATCAAGGGGCAATATTATCTTGCCAAAAACAAATTGCAGAAGCTGATAAAAATCTTGGACCTTTTTTTTTAACTTTTGAAGACTATATCTTTAGATGGAATGAACTTAAAACAACTATGGTCTTCCAAATATATTTCCATTTCAGTTTCCCAGATATCATAGCAGGCATATGATGACATGAATAAATCACATTGCACTCATTGATCATCCAAACAAAAGCAAACCTTGCTTACATTCTACTCTATCAGTCATCTCTAAAATTGTGCAATTTGAATACAGCAGAAGAGCAGCTTCCTCATTATAAAAATGTAGTGAAACAAAACCAGACCTGGCATGTCCAGGAGTCAAAAGAGCCTGCTACAAGAACTTCTGAGGCAGAATTAGGCCAAACAATATGGGTAGTACGCAAAAGCCGCATAGCTATATAAGCACTGTCAATTCTACTCTGTTTCTTTTCAGTTGTCTTTTGTGCATCACTGAACAAGAACAGTTTGAATACCAATTAAAGTGTCCAGGGTAAACAATGAAATTTATTGATGCTTTACATACATAGTTGCCAAGGTCATTTTCCCCTCCAGTATAGTTAGCTTTGTACGTATTGACCGCAATCTCTCCTGGGCATTTATGAACTGATTTTCCTGGAACTCCAATGCATCTGAAAGCTTTAGCACATCACTACGACTACAAGAGCCTCTCATAACCTGGGGAAGAAATATATGCATAAAATCACTCGTAAAGACTACTGGACAGCATTTCTTGATGCAAGTCCTACTTTGTACGGCAAACATTGGTTGTCATTCCTAAGCATAACCAATTCAATCCTTAGTTCATCCTTTTCAATCTTTCTGAAGAATTTTCGCTTGTAGCCTTTATTTAGGAATTATGGGCCTCCACAGGAGAAATGAACTTATGGTTTTGATGAACACAAGGGTAATTATAGAACAACAATTATAAAATAAAAAACCTTTCCCACTCCTACGACCCAGTTTGGGGTGTAGGCAAAACAAGTTTAAAGAGGCGGCATATTGGCATAATGGTTTGAAAAAAAACTGGTTTGGATATGAAGGAAGTTTGTTTCAGAGAGGCGAGGCGTAAGCATTGGTTCTTTGAGGATTAAGCCTTGTTTACCATGTCTGTTAAAAACTTTTCCAATAATTACTGGCCCCTCCATCCATTCAAAGTGTTAGTTCCGTTTTGGGCAAAGAACAACATTAAGGATAAATGCAATTCATAAAAGAGGTGTCAACGTCTAATATATAGTAAAAAATGTATGCACCACACTATAATTAGTCAAAAAAATGTACTCCATTTAATGACGAGTCAGAAAACTGTATGTTTTACCTTTTGTGAACTCTTGAACATCATGAACTCAAGTGCTGAATTAAGCTCAGCTTCAAAGTGCTGAATGCGGGCTCTTATGTCATTGTGATAGACACCACTCTGTCTGAATAAATTTTCAGTACCCTTTTCAGTCACAACAGCTGTTTCATCCATTGAAGTTTTTCTACCTTCTTTATCTTGACCAAAACTAATTTCAGCCGCTGCAAGTTTTAAGTAGAATGGATAAATAAAAAAAGATGAAATACTGATTTGTATATTACACTACATACCAGGTTTTCATGGCAATTAAATAGCACAGAGTACAAAATAAATACGTTCAAATTCAGTATCGTGAAAGCCAGCACGTCGAGTACTCCAAGTTCTCCATGAATCAGTTGCAGCCATGCTGGTATCTCCTAGATTACACCTGACTTTTTTTATATATCACAATTAAAAATCACTAGTAAATATCACTAGTGACAGGCCAATCTATAACAACAGCAACAAGAACAAGTCAACAAGTACGATCCCAACTCCATTTGGGTCTGGGACTCTGGGTTACACCAAAAAAAGGTGTTTCCATTAGACCCATACACTCTACCCAAAACATTATACAAAGCAAGAGGCAAAGAAAGTTTTATGCGTCATTTTGATCTGGTCCATTATTTATCTGAAGCTAATACATAATCAATAACGACTCTAGAAGCTCACAAAAAAGTTAATTGTCTCAGGATGATGGAATGAGTTTTGTGAGAATATCGATGGCATTCTTAAACATCATTTGGAAGCAAATGGTACATTGTTTAAACCATTAAACTTATGGAATGCCACATTAACCAAATAGTGAGTGTAAGCAGAACTTACCCGCATCAGTGGTCACAATCTTCATATCATTCCCATCACCCCTGCTTGATGCCCACTTTCCATTCTCAGATTTTTCTGAACAGATGTGGAGAGATGATTGTCTGTGTTTCTCTAATCGCTGCAATATGCCCTCAATTCCACTTTCTTCTTCTGCTCCTATTTTTCTGAGCCAAATGGAAACACTTTCAGATTTAAAAAAAAAAAGACTATACCAAAAAATATTTGCAATATAACATACATAGATACACAAAAGGAATTGAGGATGAACCCAACAGATTCAAGAAGGCTTTTAAGATCTTGCAACTCAACAGATAAATATCCACACAATATCACTTATTGCAAAGAGAGTGGGCAGAAGAGAACTTGACAAAAATTACAAATATTTATCCTCAGATAACAAAATCCATTCAAACTGGAACTAAAGTCCTAAATAGGAAGCTCACAATGATCTACCAGAAGAAGATGCACTTTCAGAAGAACCATGGGAATCAAGAGAGTATGCTTCATTGCCCTCAAAAGCTCCACTATCTCGACAATTGTTGACCCTTCTTAGAAACTCTTCCATATTCAAATCAATATCAAGTCTCTCATTCATATCATCATCTAAATCCCAACCCAGTGAAAACCAACCGCCTCGCCTCCCAATAGCCTCCGCCAGATCATATCTCCCAGCTTCCTCCAACTCTCTCCTGGTCGGGAACGCCCCTGGCTTCCTAGAATTCCCCATGAACTCCAAGATTCTCGCCTCAAGCTCCGCGTCCCCTCCAGAACTCGCCGACCCTCCATAACACCAACAACAAGAATCGCTTCTCCCCCTCCTCATCGGCTGCAGAAACCCTAAAACAACCTTCTGTTCCGTCCCCGGGAGTCTAAACGCCGGACGGGGGAGTTTTGACCCGCGGCGGAGCACGGAGACGGGAGGGGGATTGAGAGAGGGGTTCAATTTGAGAGGAAGGGAGAGATGATTTGGGGTCCAGAAGAGGGGCACCATTGCACAGGCATTTCTTCGAGCACAGGGAGAGCGTTTTGGGGCGGATGGGAAGGATGCTTCAAGAGAGGGAGGAGGAGTGGAAGCGGGAGAACCCAGCCGCGAAGCAACGAACAATCCGTACCGGAAAGCGGAGATGGGAGTCAGGGTTTGCCGGGAAGTTGTTTTTCCTGGTTTCTGGTTTGTAATACTAGCGGTGAGGTATGGGATTTTACCCCTACCAATCCAGATCCCGAAATATCGATTCGGTATGGTTCGGGATGGTTCGGTATCGGTTTTGGTACAAATCAGGATGAATATACATACCTACTTTACACGTTAAAATTTAACTATGATGCCCTTTTATTTTTGAAAATTAAAAAGTAAATTTAAATAAAAAAAATGAAAATTATAAAAAAAATGAATATTTAAATGCAAGAGATTTGTATCAAAACTTAGTTTATATTTCGCAAACTAAAAAAAATGAACAACAATAAAGGAGTATTTCAAATCTTTGTGAATACTTTTATGTTGATACACAAAAACTTACTTGAACCAATTTTTTTTTAAAAAAAAATTACCCGGAGTATTTTTTAGTGAAGGAATATAAAAATATTACTCCGGATATTATTTTTTATAAAATTTTAGTATATATGTTCGGTTCGGGATTTTTGGTATGGGACGTCCCCTCGTACCGTTCCCAAATACCGTACCGACCATTCGGTTCGGTATGGTTCGGTTCCTTCTCGGTATTTTTTCGGTTCGGTATTTTTCGGTTCGGTATTCTCGGTTTTTTCGGAAAATTTCGGTATCGATTCGGTACTTGCTCACCCCTATGTAATACTGAGTGGGATGGGCAAAAATACGGATTAGGCATTAATTGAAAAATGAGTTTTTAAAATACGGAGTACTTAATAATCTACTCCGTATATTGTTCCATTTTTCAAAATGATACTCTATCTTATCCATCTTACCTTTGTTATTCTTTAATATTCTTAACTCTTTTTTTCTTTTTCACCTTTAATACAGTGAGATTTCCATGATATTGGAATCCCATATCATGGGATGAATCAGAGGCGTTCTGGTGTCTCTTTCGTAAAATTAACGGTTCCTATCCTCCTTAATCCTGAGTGAATATCCCCACCCCTCTTCAATTGTACCTCCTTCAAAATCAACTTATGGGGTGCAATTGAAATGGGTCGGGGGTGTGTTCGAATCGAGCGGGGTGAGCGGTTTACCAGGAGGGTTAAAGGGATAGGAACCGTCAATTTTACAAATGGGGCACCGGAGCGCCCTTGGGTCATCCCTTGACATTGTCGGGCAATGTCATGGGAACCATCCCTTTTTTAATATTCATCTTAATTTATTTAATCTCAATACTCCGTATTTAATACTTCCTCTGTTCGACTATTCCTAAATCATTTACACATTTCATTATTTAAAAATTGTGGAAACTTTTATTTATTTAAGTGTTTTCATTGATTATTTAATTAAATAAAATATTCTTGTCACATTTTGTTTTGTAAAACTTTGATGTACTTTTAAAATATGTAAATTTATTTTTTATTTATATACCAAAAAGAATACTTCGTTTTTCATAAGAGATTGAAAAGAATACTTCTTTTTATTTTTTCAATATAAGAAGAATTGAAAAAATAAGAGATTCTACTTCGTTTTTCATAAAATGCAAATCATTTAGGGACGGAGAGAATACTTCTCTTGTCCTATAACGAATGTCATACTCCGAATAACATTGCATGTAAAACCTTATCATTTTTAAAATAATTTTAATTACAAATTGGTATAAAAATAAAAAGTTTAAATGACACCATTTAAAAGTACATGAATTTTTTTATAAAACAAGAATATTTTATTTTATCAAATGATCAATAAAAATATACAAACAAATAAAAGTTATCGAAAAATCGTAATAGTAATAATGGTATCCATTTTGGAACGGATGAGGTATTACTGTAAAACTATAATTTGTAAAAAAGATGTTACAACACAATATGTATGTTGCGTAAGAACATAAAAATATATTGGTGCACCAAAAATTTTTACGAAGTTGTATAATTTTTTGTAATAAAATTACGTAATTTTTAGTCTTACAAAATTATAGTATGATTTGACATGGTTGCGCTCTTCTCTTGGTCTCCCAATCTAGAGCTTGTTCTTTTCAACTGATTCTAATTACTTATTACTTATCTTATTAGAATCAGATGAGATCAAATCAAATAATTTTGTCTCATCCATATCATCTCCACATCATCTATTCATTTCAAATACCTTTTTTTAAACAACTACTCACAACTCATTTAATTCATCCATCCATCCATTTAATTATTTATGGACCCCACCTGAACGTAAATTTACTTTATTTATTATTTTAAATAGTTCATACTTCATATAATATTACGGAATATAATATAATATTATTTTTTATTACAACACAACTGGTGAATAAAATATTACAAAAAATATTAGATTACATATTTAAAACTTATATAAATTATATAAGAATCATATTAGAGAAGAGAATTATAATAATTTAATGTAAATATTTATTTGAGAAATTAAAATGAAGAATAGTATATTTTTAAACATGTGTTTTTGGAGAAAAAACTATTGGAAAAAATAAATTTAGTGATTATATTAATTATTTGTTGTAAAATAATTGATAAATAAAAATAGAATAGTTGGTGCGATTGTAGTTGCGGACGTCAAAGAAGAAGAAAAAAGTCTGACATCGTGCGCAGGTAGCTGCTGATGTCGAAGAAGAAGAAGATAACTCTGATGTGTTATGGTAGATGTTAAAGGAAATAACATTCCCATATTATTATTATTATTATTATTATTATTATTATTATTATTATTATTATGTATATGGTAGTCTCCCTGTATATTTTTGTTTTCTTTTGTATTTCTTTCCTTTTGTAGTAGTTTCCATATAGAGTTTCTAGCCGGTGGGATCCTATATATACACAGCTTTTGTTCATATTATAATCATCAATAATTCAAGAGAAATATTTTCTCCCGAATATTATTCTCCCAACTTAAGCCTATTCATTTTCATCATCATAAGTATTTAAATCTAAGCTTAATTCAAGTTTTTTCACTCTAGTCTTTTTGTCTATGCTTTATCTGGCAATTATGTTGATATTTTTTTCATACATTTAAAAAATTACTCCGTATGACTTATGATAACACAACTAATTACTTATTTTTTTTACAAATAATTACTTATTTATAAAATATGACTTATAAAATATAATTGACTTCAAATTCAATTCTAATTTATGATCTCTACTATTTAAACAAATAAAAAGTTATTCTAAATATTTTTTAGAATTATTAGAAAAAATAAAATTAAAAAAAATATTTTTTTCTGGATATTCTATTGATCCGATCCAAAATTTGGGTATTCGGTAATTTTCGGATCGGATATGGAATAGATATTTACCGATTCGAAATTTCGAATATCCAAAAAACTAGATCGGATTGAATCGAATATATCCAAAGTAACCAGGTAATATTGAGTAGTTGTCAAAATTTCCTTTCACTCATGTAATAGCAATGGGAAATGGGAAAGTAATATGTGGACTTTGAATTGGAAAAAATGAAAGCTTTTTAAATTATTTTTAATAAAAGTGGATACAGTACTAGGTGAGATCTAATAAATAAAGGGATGATAATAGAAGATTGATAGTTGTAGTATTTGGAAAAAAAATTCCAAATAAAAATATATTTCAAAAGATTAAGGTGGACATGTGAAATGTAGTTCTTCATACATTTTTAGGGGTAGAAACGGTCCGTGACGTTCCGTGAAACTACCGGAACCTATCACGAACCGCTCTTATTTAAACGGTTCGGTATTAGTACGGTATGAACCCCAAAATCATTCAGTAACATTCCATTTTGAAATGGAACGATACAATACCATACCCGTGTTCAAACCGTGCCAAAAAAAATAAATATGCATTGCTCAAAAAATATTAAAATAAAAGTACTGTATAATTTTGTATAATTAAAGCCAATCTATTTTCGATCTGCTTTACTGAGTACAATATGTTCCATATTCGCTTTAAGAAAAATGCTAGGGGTACACCAAAGGTGTACCCCATATGTCCCCCACCCCCTCATTGTCCACTAAAAAAGGTAAAAAAATTTAAAAAAAAATAAGTAAATAAAAATCAAATAAAAATATGTGGTGGAGAGGGGGTGGTGTACATTTGGGGTACACTTTTTGGTGTACCCCTAGCATTGCTCTCGCTTTAAATATTGGGTGACATGTACTCCGTATGTCCTATAATGGGGTAAAATGTGAGTTTAATTCTTGTCGAAATAAGGGGTGCCCAAAGCTTAAGACCTTGTTTGAAAAGGTCATTTTCAATTAGCTTTAGTGTTTTGGATAAACTTTTAACGGTGTAGATTGACTCTGAAAATGCTAATGTTAAAGGGTACCGTTTGATAGCCTTTTCAAAATGTTAACGCTATTCTCTAACGCTGATGCAAAACATAGCCTAATACTTGAGTTCAAATTCTTAAAAAAGTCGATATCCATCGTACGATTGTCAAGGCAAGGGGTATCTAAAGAATAATATTCAAAATTTAATTTGAAATAACCATCGTAATCATATGACTCAAATATCAAGTACATACTCCACTTTCTGCTTTCAATCTTTAATTAAAATACTTTCTCCGTCCCACATGACATTTCATGTTTTGACTTTTTAAAATGAGAAATCGTAAAAGTTTGACTAATGTGAAATGACGATAATTGAAACAAGTAGGACTCGAGAAATGTCAAAATGGGAATGACGTAGAAAATAATTGAGGTAGGCTCGTTTAGATTTAAGAAAGGTAAATGTATTTGTGTCCATTCATACCAAACTAAAATGTATTATGATACATGTAAGATGTGAAGTGGTATAAATTTTAAGTGATTAAGGCCTTGTTCTTTTGTGTTGGAAAAATTAACTTTCAGCTTCTTTGAACTTCTTTCAGTTCGTTTCAACTCCTTCTAGTTTCTTCCAACAATGATTTAAAAATGTATTTAAACATGATTAATACTCGTATAAAGCAACATTATATATCCAAACTTATAACATATTATCCCAAACAAGGGCAATGATGAATTCTTTTTTATCCAAAATTAAAGTTTTCAAATATATATATTTGGATGATCATTTAATTGAGTGACCTTTTAACTTTTAAAATTTTCCAACTCCTCCCAATTTTTTTAATTTCTTTAAATTTCTTCCAACATCCAACTTTGAAATTTCAATACTCTGATATGATACTCTTTGCAATTTGCTGGGTTCATTTCTTTTAACTCCGAGAAACACTATTTATAATTATTTATACTCGTATAAAGCCTGAAACTAAACCCCTAGCTCCGCCTCTTCACATCCTGCCCAGTCTCGACTCTCTCTACACAGAACCCTCCTCCACCCCTGACCACCGTCTCCGGCGGATATCCTATTGTACTTTTATTTACAGAACTGTGCATTCCATGGAGGCCGCGGCGGCGTTGGAGGTCATGGAAGGACCAGTCATCACCGTCATCAGCAAGCGCATCCGCGCCCTTCGGAAGAAGCTGAACCGTATTTCGCAGATGGAGGACTCTATTTCCAACGGGAAGGCGCTGAATAAGGAGCAGGAGGAAACCCTACGGTCGAAGCCTTCCGTCATCGCCGGCATTGAGGAGCTCGAGAAGCTTCGCCAGCCGCTTACTGCCGCCGTTGATGAAGAAATCAGCCTGGCTATCCAACGACACCAAGTATCCGTTTCTAAATCGGAGGCCTCCATAGACGCTTCCCCCAATTGTGAGGATAAATCTGATGAATTCACGGAAAATAAGGTAGAAAGCACGATTGAGCCAAATACCAATGTTACATGTGAGTTTAATTTTTTCCCTCTTCTAGCTAGATGAACATTTATCAATTGATTCTTATGATATTATATGAAAATTCCATTTATCAATGGGTTCCTAATCTTTATAGATTCTGGGGTGAGATTGAAGCTGAAAAAGATTTTTGACTCACAGTATTCAACTTCATCACCTGTTATGAATTTTGGGACTCACCAAGTTCAGGTTCAAGAATCCATTCCATCTGTGGATGTGCAAGTCCATGTTGAGGGTGCAGGAATGCAGTACCAGCAGAAGGTGAAAATCATTAATGCCACTATTGTTTGTTTCTAAATTTGAATCATAATTAAGCCATTGTTATGCTTTTAGTAAAATACATGAAAGTGATGAAACCTAGTTCTCAAAAGGCAATTGATTCAACCCCAATTCAAGATTTACAAACGTACATCATATTTTTCTTTTGGGATTCTACAAGTCCAATAATCCGTGCACATCTAACTATAGGTTTTTTAATGCAAATTTTTTATATTCCATAGCTTCTTCAAACGCAATTCTTTTTTATGGACTGCAAAACCATTAATTATTGTATTACATTCATCATATATATATATATATACACACACACACACACACACACATACATACATACATACATACATACATATATATATATATATAATATGTATGTATGTATGTATGTGTGTGTATATATAAAGTTGAGCGGATTATTTGTGGTTACAATATGTGTCATGCCACGGCATTAGTTCATTGCCAAATAGATTGCCACATCATGCCATCTCTTGCCACTTAATTTTTTAAGAGAATGAAGAAAATGAAAAGTCATATCCACATAATACTTGAGCTTTAAACCCATTGTGTTTTAAACAAATATACAAGCAGCATATAAGATTTTTTAAAATTTTATAAACATATTTTCTGTATCCTTCACATTTTGATTTTAAATACGGAGTAACCATTATTTTATTATTTGTTTTATAAAATCCTTCACTTTCTAACTATTTTAAAAATATATATTTTCATTCTAAAAAATTCATAAGTATGTTGTTATTTAAAAAAAAAAGTAATTTAAATTTTATTAAATAAAAAATACCAATATAGTTGTTTATATTTTTTTAAACTATCCACCGTCTATTTTATTTTATTATTTCGTAAAGTACTACTCTCAATTATCCAACTTATTTATTTCAACATTTTTTATCCTATTATGTTATTTAAGTAATGTGATCTAAATGTTAAAATATTAAAAGAATCTTAAAAAAATATTTTAAAGAATATAACCCAAAACTGAACTATAAAAATATTAGTATATTACTAGAAAAAACAATAGATATTATTATATTTCATATATGAATGTCATATATGAATGTCAATATATGTATCCGTATATGAATGTCACGGGGTTAACACTAGTGTATTCATATATGAATGTCAATATATGTATCCGTATATGTGCATGTGTATATGTATATATCAAATTATCAATATAAGTGTGTGTGTGCGCGCACACACACATGTATGCATTCACATATCCATATAACTAACCAACTCCCTAGTGTGTTAAATGATGTAAAATCTTACAATTTTATTATTCCATTTGATGTCCTTCCAATGATTCTAATTAAACATTTATCTTATGAACATAGTTAGAAATTACAAAAGAATTTACTTTTTTTGATCAAGTTTCATTAAATTTTTTGTTCCTCCTATAGTAGTTTCTAGTTGGTACGTTGCTTGTGGAAAAAAAGACTTGTTCTTAGTTTTGGAACTGCACTATTTGTTAATCTGTGGGTCTTATTTAATATTTTCGCTTTCTCGAGGTGCATATCACACACCTGTCAGTTACACTGCAATGAAACAGTTTGAGGGGACTATTTATTGAAAACCAACAAACAATTCATTTAGGCAAAGAAATGAAGTCTGGAGGGATAGAATCCCAATATAATTTGTTAGCCTGATAATAGGCTTGTGTAGGTAGCAAGTGCGCATAAACATTAGATGAACGAGGAATAAATTGGATTGAGCAAGAAGGAAAAGAACTCATAAGTTCTCGGCAACTACAAATGACGTTGCCAACATAAGATCTAGAGCTAGAAGGGAGGGTGAAACCTTGACAAAGAGTAGAGCAATCTGAAAAGAGACGAACTGAAGAAACTCCTCGATGCTTCAACCATGAAAGTGCTTCTTTGCAAGCCATTGCTTCTGCCATTAAAGGATTGAAGCAAGGTGGTAAAGGTCCGTTTGTAGCTGCAATAAAAGAACCGACCGACGAGAGAATGATGACACCAAAAACTGCCTTCCTGGACCCGGAGTCAAAACCTGCATCAGAAAAACAGTCAAAGACATGGCTGAAAACTCCTTCCGGTTGCTGGGGGTTCACTTGCGTCGAAAGAGAAGCACGCTCCGGAGCAAATGACCTCCAGCAGGCTACTGCCGATTGCGCAGACTGCCATACTGCATGGGGTGAGAGAAGTCTTGCCTCCCAAAGAGCTTCATTCCGTGCATGCCAAAGCTCGTAAAGCACAGCCAACAAAACCTTGCAAACTTTTGCCGTCCAACATCTCCCAGATTGCCTCCAGCCATCGTGTGAAATCTGTACCATTTATAGCACAATAGACAATCCACTTTGATGCCAAACACAAATGGAAAAATCACAAGAGAGTAAGAGACCAAAGCATGCATGGTTTCTTCGACACACACTCCACATTTTGGACAAAATAAATGTACATCAACCCTTTTTTGATATAAGTTAATAGTAGTAGGCAAAACATTCTTAACAGCCCTCCAAAGAAAGGACCTCCACTTTGGTGGGACTTTTAACTTCCATAATTGTGACCAAAATTTGAAGCCAGAAGGTTGCACATTAAAATCCCCAATAAGATTGCTATAACCCAACTTGGCAGAATAACAACCCTTAGGGTCCCCTAACCAATACCATGAATCCTCTAAAGCTAGGTTCACAGGAACTCGGGTGATACGTTCCACATCTGAAGGAAGGAACAGATCAACTAAGAGGGGCAAATCCCATGAACCGGACAGTGGATCAATCAAACAAGCAACCTTTATGCCACGGAGCTAAGGGGGCATAATGGTTTGGACCAACGGGTCCGAGCCGTCTGGAAGCCAAGGGTCTTCCAAAACTAACGTCCTCGCCCCATTACCAACTCTGCGTCTCGCCCCACTACAAACAAGACTATGGGCAGCCATGATACTCCACCAACAAAAACTTGGACAACTACCAAGAGTAGCTTCAATAAAAGTAGTTTTAGGAAAATACATTGCCTTGAACACTCGTGCTGCGAGAGAATTAGGCTCTGTGAGAAAACGCCAAGCTTGCTTGCCAAGCTTAGCCAGATTGAAAGGAATGAAAGCACGCAAGTCTTTAAAGCCTAGCCCCCCAAATTTTTTAGGAACGCAGAGCCGATCCCAAGCCAACCAGTGAATACCTCTTCCATTGGACCCACCCAAACCCCACCAAAACCGATTCATAGCATGTTTCAAGGACAAATAAAGAGAGTCTGGAAGTAAGAACACACTCATAGAAAAAGTCGGCATGGCTTGAGCCACACTTTTGAGAAGAATCTCCTTTCCCGCCCTCGTCAGGATCTTTTTGTTCCAGGAGCCGATTCTTTGTTTTACCTTATCTTCAATATAGGAGAAAACGGCTCTCTTATTTCTTTGAGGGGACTATTAGTTTGGCAAAAAGATATTTTCTTATCTTATATTCCTATATGATTAATATACAATTGTTTGTATAGTAGTTATGACTTTATGATGCTGTCATTTTTTTTCTTTTCTGTGTAATACCTTCTCCTCTCTCAGGTTGCTAGCCTATGGTGTAATTAACACTAAAGGTTGGCAAAATCCAGAGGGACAGAGGGAGTATGAGATTATGAATCTATGATGATGATATTTTATGTATTTTATTGTATAACTGTAAACTTTAGTCATTTTGTTCTCTAGGGGTGTTTGGTTATCTTTTGACAGAGAATGCTTTTAAGCTTTTGAATATTTGTTCTGTTAATTGGTGCATGACAAAGTGCGCATTGTTTTTTTAAAGATTTACTAGAACAGTACATCAACACATACAAGAGAGTTTGTTACCATCAGCCTATGTGAACTGAATCCCGCTACAATTTAATAATTGCCATGTTTTTTTGGTCTCTTCTTTTCCACGTCGTTTTCCAATGCCAAATTATCATTGCTTTTCAGGAAGAACCTTTTGTTTCTAACAACGAAAATGAAACTAATAACGGCGATGCTGGCGAAGAACACCATCAGGTAAGTGTATACTCGTTGATACTAAGGGCTTGTTTTCTTCACATGTTTTGATTGATTCTGATCTGATTGGAATAAATTTGGGTTTGATCTTATTTGAATATTGTTATATTTAAAGCTGTTTCTGATCTAGTCTGATCTGATTGTAATAAAAATAAGTTATAAGTAATAAGAATAAGTTGAAGAGAACAAGCTGTAAGATTATTTTATGATGTTTTCTCCTTGGCTAAATGAAAGCTGTGCTACACATTTTGCTTTTACAGGAGGAAGAAGATTCACCAGACTTGACTGCTGAAACTGTCTCTGTTCATCAAGGATTGGAGGATCCAGTGGATGTGAAAGAGCAACATGTTCCTCGACGGCCCTATAATAATTATAATAATAATAATAATTATAGGGGCGGCAGCCGTGGTGGTAGACACAGGGGGAATTATAATGGTCGTGGTGGGCGTGGCAGGGAAGCCATCACTTCCTACCAGAATGGGGGCCATGACCAATACTATGATCAACCCGTTAACTATAGATTGAGGAATTTTGAGCATAGGGGAGGCGGCGGGAGAGGAGGAAGAGGTGGTGGCTATTACAACAACAACAACAACCACAACAACAATCACAACAACAATAACTACAACAACCACCGTGCTTATGGAGGCGGTGAAGGTGGCGGACCTGGCGGCAGGTATAACAGAGATTCTTGACCTATGCTTTTGATGTTCATAAAACAATTTTTTTGCACTCATGTGGGGATAGAGCTTTTTACTGCTCTATGGTTTAGCTTCTAATTTTCTGTAAGATGGTGAGAATCATGCACAAAAAGCATGACCAAACACTATAAAAGTTCAGATGAATTGTGACACTATGTTTGATTCCATGAATTTCTTCCCATTAGGTCAGAGTGGAATAAAACAATAGAAGGGAAAAAATGAGATGAAAATAAATTGTGACACTAAAATGAAGGAAAATAAATTTTTTCCCCATTTTGGCGAGGAAATAAAAAGTGAGGGAATCAAATTTCTTTTTTTTTCTTTCATATTCCTTGAACCAAACATAGTGTAAGTTTACTAGTGCCTTGCAAAAACTAAATTGTTTACCACCAGTGATTTTAGTTAAACAATCACGAACGAGTTTTTAGCTTAAGCGTCTTGGAAAAGCTATTTAAAAGTAGTTTTCAACTTTATTGTTTTTGAACATTGATGACCAAAGACTTTGTGATCTAGTGGCATCACATATTTGAACTTCAATGATGCAACTCTACAACAACAACAATAGCAATCTAGTAGGATCTCACTTTAGTGATGACAGTAACAACAACAACAATAACAGTAATCTAGGTCTACTCCTTCCTTCACCCTCACCCACTATTATTATGAGTCTCATGAATCTTTTGGATATATGTTATAATCGGTTCGGTTCAGATTGATTTAATTTTGGTTTGGATTTGATTTGGTTTTATACATTTTTGGTTTTGGTTCGGTTTTGAGTTGGTTCAGACACGGTTTAGATAGATTTTGGTTCGGATACAATTTGAATTGGATATATTTTGGTTTTGAATCTAGTTCGGTTCAGATATATTTTGGTTTTGGATATGTTTCAGTTTGGACATATTTCGATCAAATACGGAGTATATTTTAGATATATTATTTCTAATTAAAACTTAATTATCCATGTTTCTTTTTTTTGTTTTATCACATTTATCAATCTATCATCAATTCAATATCTCATATTATTTTATATTTTTTTCTAGTTATACTATCTCCATCCTAAATAATCTTTTTTTTACTTTTTAGTCATATTTTACAAATTTGGACTACAAGTTATGAAAAATAATATAATTAAATTGATTTTAAAATTTAGTTTTGATATATCAAATTTTAATCACATCTACTAATATCTTTATGTTTATAAATGCAAAGATAAAAGATGAATTGAAAGAGCATTACGCTTCAATTGAATACAATTTTGTAAAAATTGAGTGGAATTAGGTGTAATTAAATGAAATTTATTTAATATTACTCCTAAAAATTGATAGAGTTTAATGAGATTAATAAAATTGAGTGCAAATTTGATAAATAATTTGAGTGTATTTGATTGAAATTAGATAAAATTAAATTTAATAGAGTCAAATATAATTAATTTTATACCTCAATTTAATGGTATAGATTAAAATTTGAATATGACAATACTAAACGCTGCCGCTAGAGAACCTTTTCAAAACGATAATGTTAACCTCTAACATTGTTGAGTAATATTGGGTGAATTGCTAATCAAACTACCTCCCAAACCAATACAATTTATTGTAATTGGATGAAATTATGATAAAATCTAGATTTAGTTTTAATTTTTAATACTATTTCGTAGGTTTAGTTTTAATTTTTAATTCTGAATTTTAAAGCTAATTTTTTAATTTTTAATTTTTAATTTTAAGTTTTAAAATTTAAATTTTTAACATTCTACTAACGTATCAATTCTATATAGAGATTTGAGTTACCAAATAAAGGATTGCAATTACAATACAAATCTCTATAAATTCCTTTATTATACTTAAAAGGATTTGAAATTAAATTAGAATTGAATTTCATTGAATTCAGTTCCATAGAATTCCAATTCTAATTCAAATTCAATTCCGGGTATCAAACGAACCCTAATTATAATTAGATCGTACTATATCAAAACTTATCTCATTCAGATCAGGTGAAAAGAACGAGATCTAACAGTGCATGTAAAAAATAAAATTCAAACAAAAAGTCATTTATCTCTGTGAGTGTTTACATTTTTAATATACTTCATCTATCCCAAATATTTTACACTTTATTCAAAACGAAGTGAAAGTTTATTTTTTATTCATTTTATTTAAAGATTGGTATAAAATTTGAAAATAAACGTACATATTCAAAAATTACGTCTAAAGTCCTACAGAACGAGAAGAAATAATACTCCGTAGTATTTTATTTGGAAGAACTCCTTAGATTAGAATAAAAAACTATTAGAATACCAAAATATAAGTCATAAGTCTTTTAATATCAAAATAAGAGTTAACATCGTCATTGATACACGGTCATACTCACCACATTGTAACATTATTAACGCCTCACTGCCATCCATCGCACTGTTAATGCGTATTCTTATACCACACTGCTATTATCCTCTTACTTTGGTCTTAAAAGATATAAGACTCTTATTTTGGTATTTTTAAACCTTTTTACTCCTATCTAAGAACATTTTTTTATTTTATCTAATAATCAATCAAAATGTACAAAAAATAAAAATTTCATAATTTTTAAATAGTGGAAAGTGTGATTCTTTTTTTGGGGGGAATTATATAACTATAATCGCTGTAAGAGTGAAAAGTTTTGGCTGGAAGTTTGATCAACTTCCCGCCAAAAATCCCGGGTAAAAAATGGGTCTAAAGCGGGTTAAAATCATCTCTCGCAAGCTCATAGCTCTTTCTTGTTCGCCGCATCAACTCTGGTCCGAAGCTTCTTCGTCCCTTCTTCTTCTTCTTCTTCGTCTGTAATTCGTCGAGAGTATCCGCTCCAGATCTGCCCATCTTCCCCATCTTCATTGACGGACCTGCGACTCCTGTTCTCGTGATTTCGAGAAATTTCAACTAGCGAACCCTAGGTGATTTCCAGATTCTAATTCGACTATCTACTTCACTTATTGCTGTTTTATGATTGTTTCATTTTTATGCATCTCCAATTTCCCCTACACGTCAAAACCCTATTTGGTAAAGTGTAGAACTCACAATCGTGAAGATGTCTTTGCGTATTATTCCTCCATAGTTTTGGTTAATAATTTTTTTGATCCTGAACTGTTCCCAATTTGAGAGATCATTGAAAAACGTTTTTTATTGTTCCTTATTTATGAACAAAAATGCTCGAATAACACCAACTTTAATATCACAAATGACAATCGTCTATGAATTTGTGAACTCTATGTTTTCACAAATGATTATATCCAATGTGTACAAATTTAAAGAGGGATCAAAGTTGGTGTTATTCCAGCATTACACATTTCTAAAACCAAGAGAAACATTTTATGATTCAGAACTGTTCCCAATTTGAGAGATCATTGAAATATGTTTTTATTGTTCCTTGATTATTCGAATGGAATATACTCTACTTATTTATGAACAAAAAAATGCTCAAATAACACCAACTTTAATATCACAAATTATAATCGTCTATGAATATGTGAATTTTTTGTTTTCACAAATGATGATATCCAATGTGTACAAATTTATAGAGGGCTCAAAGTTGGTGTTATTCCAGCATTACCCATTTCTGAAACCAAGAGAAACAACACATTTATAGGTGGGTCAGATGTGTATATGTCCACGCGTTCGTTTTTATGTATATTTTTCTCTATTTATACTTGAATCAAATATTGAAATGGGTGGGGATTGGGATCTGTGGAAGATAAGCTGATCACCTTTTCCTTTACTGTCTCTTTTTGTATCTTCATATGAAAGTGCATTTCTTCTATGTTTGTTTCTAAGTTTGTTTTTTAAGTTGAAGGGATAGAACATGTGACATTACATTTTCTATTACTTATTATCTATGTTTGCCTTCGTGTGTACAAGGATGTGCCTTGTTTCCGGTAGGGCTAGTTCAATGCTTCAAAGTCACTCCAGAAAAGACAACTTCATAATTTGATAGTTCTTAGAAGTACTAATCGATGAGCATCTTCTTTCTTCCAACAAGGGCAACTCGTAACAATTAAGGCATGATTGTATATAAAAACATATTTTGAAGAATTTCATGTAATGAATAGAGAATGACATGAAGATATTCCTTTTCATTTCCTCTTACACTATGTTTGGTTCAAGAAAATTGAAAGGGAAAATAACAGAAAATGAGAGGAAAAGTAGTTTTTCTTGTTTGGTTAGAGAGGAAAAGAAAAGAAAAGTGGAAGGAAAAGAAAATGAGAAGACGAAATGTACTAGGAGAAGGGAAAACCAGATTCCTCCCATTTTAGTGCACTTTCTTTTCTTATTCTTCCAAATTCCCGGAACCAAACATAGTGTTAGTTAGAGGAGAGACATTTGTTCATTTCCCTTCATCCCCTCTTGATCATGGAGTAGAATTTGCAGAGCTGGCATTGAGCTCAGCTGCAAGTACAGTAACCACTAATGGCAGAAGAACACCGAAAAGAGCACAGCAGTGAAGAGACAGCCCGCCTGCAAATTCCCACAGGAAAGGTGAAGAAGATCATGAAGCTCGACAAGGATGTCAAGAAGGTCAATCCAGAAGCTCTGTTTCTCATCTCCACATCCACTGAGCTCTTCCTCAAACTCCTTGCTGAGAAATGTGTCGAAGTCGCAGTCCAGAAGAAGAGGAAAACAGTAAATCTAGAGATCTTAATGGCTGGCGTGAAAAGGCACCGGCCCACCAGTGGCTTTCTCCTAGACTCTCTGCCGCAGCCTTCTGAACCAGCCCACAGACCACCGAAAGGAAGCCGCAATCGCACCAAAGATAAGCCAGTCTCTGCCGGGACTCGAAAAATCGATGCTTTCTTTCTGAAATGTACTTAGGGGTGATTGGTTGATGTTGCAATAACTGTTTTGAGGACGTTTGAATATGAAATTAAAGAGAAATTTCAATCAATTTGTTTTTGAGAAAATCACATACATGTATGATTAGGTATGTACCATTTTTTAGTTTTTTTTTTTAATTTTGAGAGGGGAAACTATCATGCAGTAGTACTCATGTTTCAATAGATAGAAATCGTTTAATCCTTTTTTAAGTGAAAAAAAACTAAAGTAGAAGTAAAACATTAAAAATACATCAAAATAGGAGTTTCATGTTTTTATTCTTAAAATAGGAGTTAAAATGTAATTACATTATCAATCATGATAATGTACATTACTAAAAAACATACTAAAATGTTCATATACAGTGTTACATTACCACACTGCAAACTTCTATTTAAGAAATAAAAATATGAAACTCCTATTTTAGTATTTTATCTATGCTTTACTCGTATTTATGGTGATTTTTTTGGTTAGTCACAACTTCTCATGTTTTTACATACACACTTTGTCCGAATTTAATGTTTTTATTTGACTTTTTATGGTATTCAATATAAGATTTTGGATTAGTACCGTTATTTATACATAGATATATTTTATAAAATTTTAATATTTCAAAACAATGTTTAAAAAGGAAATTATTGATATTATATTTATATCGAAATACAATGTATTTTTTTGCATATCGAGATCAAACTTTACAAATCTTGACCGAAAAAGTCAAATGAGAAGATTAAATCCGGACGGAGGGAGTAGTTAAATGAAGTGAATTATACATGAATAAATCTAGAAACCTACTACAGGGCACCCTTAATTTTCTGGATCCCACATTATTTGAAATATACTCCCTGGTACCCTAAATTTTCTGATAAAAAATCTCAGGTCCCACATTATTCAAAATATACTCGGTGGGGGGGGGGGGGGGGGGTTNTACATTCCGTGTATTCGGCCATTAGGATTAAAAGTCCAATTACTTCGACAAAAACTAAATTTTACCTTGATAATTATTATTTTGTTAAATTTAAATAAAATCCTTCAATTTGTCAAAGGGAACTTTCAATCCTAACGCCTAAATGGACGGAATTTAGCATCAAAGTATAGTATCACAAATTTTAAAGATCTCGAAGTATATATTTCAGATAATGTAGAACCTGAGAGTTCTAGAAAAAGAGTTGAGGGTACGCTGAAATATATTTCAGGAAATGTGAGAGACCTGTAAGTTATTATCAGAAAATCGAGTGTACCCCAAGTAATTTTTTCGAATAGATCCAACAACGCTAGAAAGATGCAAGTACCGAACATGTGTATTGCTAATATATTAAAAATATATAAATCTTTTTATATTTTTCATTAAATAATAAGTTTGTTTTGAAAATTAGGTTCTAAGTTTTATTATGTGTGTGATGTACTTTATTTTGTGTTTAAATTTTCTTTAAATAAATCTAAAAACATTAAGAAACATTCAAAATAATATTTTGTTATTATTCGTTCTCTTTTGTTTGTAAAATATAAACTAAGCTTCATAAGTATTCTTGCATCATAACTATTTATTTTTTAGTTTTTATATTTCTTTGTCTAACTGCACTTTCAACTTTAAAGAAATTAAATGGATAGTTATTAAGCTCACGTATCATTCTTTAAGCAAAGGCCTGAATATTGTCAATCTTGTGTTTGCTCATGATGTTATTTATAACATGCAAAAATCGACCTTGTAATCCAACGACATCATTGTAGATCTCTCACATCGATCAGAGTCCATAAGTTCGAATCTTAATACGGACAATAACTCTTTAAATTTTAATATAATGAGGAAAAAAGTACCATGTATTAAGAGGTACTTAATTGTAGCAGAGTTATTAATTAGCGTGGCAACAAGCATAGGCCGAAAACAAAACATCAAATTCAAAGGCCACTCTTTAGCATACAGAAACATAAATGACTTTTGAGCTTGTTTAGAGCAATAAATATGTCTATTGAATATCAATTTGGAAAAAAAAGAAACAAAAAACAACATTTTATTTCGAAATACATTGAGCTTACATAAATGTTAGAATATAAGTGAATGTATATTGCTTGCAATCCCAATGCAAGCACACTCTTAGCGCTCGTGACGACATCTATTAAAAGCATTGCAACCACGATTATATGTGTTAGGTATCTCGGTTGGTACTTTGATTACATCAACAAATTGCGGTGCCAGGTTGTTACCCTTAGTTGGTTGTGGCTTGATTACATCAATAGATTGTGATGCTGAATTGTATTTCTTAGGTAACTGTAACAATAGCTTTCTGTCTCCGAAGTACCCATTTTCCTCAACTGCTGTCGAGAAAGGTGCGCATATAGCTAGAGCCATGAGAACGACAATAACAACTCTTAAGTTTGCCATTTCTGTTCTCAAATGACGATTGACAATGCCTTTTAATAGAGAATATACACTTCTCTTATTAATTGCGGACAGATCAAATCTGTGTAGCTCAATATTTATTTTTCCTCCATTTGCCCAAATTTATAGTCTTAAACATTTAGTTGTAGAAACGAATTTAAAGGAGAGCCATACAAAGATTTCAAATGAAAGTTATAGATATGTGCAACTCCATATAGGTAGGAAAAAAAGTTTATCACATGTGGGTGTAGAAATTCAGAACATGTGGTGATACAAGCATTTTAAATGAAAACTATAAAATAAATGTTTGTCATGCCTTATAGTTAGGAAAAACGTTTATCATGAACCGTGGAAACTCTCATTTGTAGACACGTGATGAAACATTTTTATACTCTCTCCGTCCTAAATTAAATTATCTTTTGATTACATACATACTTCATCTGTCTCGAATTCATTATCCTAATTTGACCTCACAAAATTTAAAAAAATATTAAAAAATAAAAATTCGGTGATCGGAATTTGTTTAGAAAAAAAAAAGATTGTGATCATACATTCTTTATTTTATTAGGCAAATAAGAAAATATGATAACTTTATGACGGACTAATAAAAAGGAAATTAGAATGATTAATCTTGGACGCTTTTCTCTCGTTTTGTGTTTTGTGCATTTTTCTATTTTTAGTTCTAGATACCGATTAATCTTGGACGGTGAGTTTAGTGTTTTAGGAAATAAGCCATTTCAATATTGATAACCCCTAACTAGATAACCCTTAACTAGAGGAGGTAATCGGATCGATTGCGGTTTGGAATATTTTGGATAGAATATCTTTTGGATATATATTGTAATCGGTTCGAATCGATTCGGTTTAATTTTGATTTGGGTTTAATTCGGTTCCATACATTTTTCAGTTTCAGTTCGATTCCGGATCGGTTCAGATTCGGTTCAGATCAATTTTGGTACCAGATACATTCTGCTTCAGATATATTTTGATTTGGATATATTTCGATTCGTGTACATTTCTGTTTCGGATATGTTTGCATATAAGTTATTTTTGAATTGAAATTTTATTATTTGTTTGTTTTTGTCATATCGCATTTATCAATCTATCATGAATTATATTATCTATGGAATATTGGACAAATACTGGGGGACGAACCGAGTACTTCCTTTGTTCTAAATATCTTCTATTTTTATCTTTTTAGTCATCTTTTATAAATTTAAATTACGAATTATGATAGAAAAGTATAATCAGTTCTAATTTAAAATTAATATAATTGGATTACCAAATTGGCAAATTACATACAATTTGGTTAAAATATGTTAAAATTGAGTAAAATTGAATGCAATTATATAAAATTTGAGTAAAATTAAATGCAATTCAAAGCACATGTTTGGCCAACCACACAATATTACATGGGAGGGGGTGAAAAAATATTTTTAATCGTTCTCTAGTTTGTATAAAATTTAACTATCGTTTTTATGTAAATTGTATTTTTCATTTTTGTACCAATTTTTTTTAAAAATAAATTTAAAACATATGAAATTTTACATTTTTTAAATATGATAATTCATTTAAGGTCTGCGTAAACACACCCTTCCCACACCCTCCTGCAGTGTGATTCAACTGGGATGTTGTTGTTGTTGTTGATAATTCATTTAAACACAAGGAGTAAGTAATATAAGTCTATAACTAGTTTAAATGGTAAAATAAAAATTTGAAATCATACTAATGTAATTGTTCACGAATGTACATAAACATGATACGGTGTATATTTATTATCACAAAGAATAGATTTCGGATATAATCCATTTCCGATGTATTCGGTTTAAGAAATCTACCTACATAGGAGAAAAAAACCCAAAAATTTGCCAGATACTAGGCACCCTAGTCTTGTTATAAGAACTGCTAATCGGTTTCAGGTTTAAATTGAGTGTGGATACATTTAGATCAATTTCAGTTCAGATCAAATCATTTTGATTATTCAATTATAAATAAGATCTTCAGTTTTCGGATCATTTCGGTTTTGGATCATTCGGTTCGGGTAGTCGATTCCGGGTCTGTTTGCCTAGGTCTACCCTTAACTATGCCAAAGATCTTGTAATCCAGCAACATTATATTCTTATTGTAAATCTTTCAAATAAGAGTTCACATGTTGAAATTCTAATAGGGGCACTACCTCTTTGAGTTTGAATAGATTGAGAAAAAAGTTACTTCATATTAATAGATAAGCATTATAAAAGAGTTATTAGTGCGACCAGAAGTATACGCCTAATCACAAAGCAAAACATCAAAGGGTGGTGACAGCCACACTCGCTAAAACTCTAAATACACCCGTCAACTAAATATACCCCGATATATCATTATGTAATTATTCAAAAAATTTATATAACTTTATTATGTTAAAAACATTAGAAAAAAATGTTTAAAACTATTCATCATTTATTTCATTTTATTACTTTTCAAATAAAATAATAAATATTTTAGTTTTAATTTTAATTATAAAACTTTAGTGCCTCTTCTTTTAAATTTTCATTAATTAAATTACTTTTATTGTTAACATATTGAATGACTATTGATTTTGTATAAAATATTCTATTTACTAAGTATTATACCAATATGTATTTCACTATTTTTAATCTACGATACATGGGTTTTTTATTATTTTAAAAACATGGTTATAGAAATTTTTCTTAAAAATATTTATACATAGTATAATCTTTAAAGTTATTCACCATTATTTTCTTCTATTTATTTTCAAGAGCAAAAATCTATATAAATTTTAATAAATGTGAATTATTATGAAAACTACAACTTTTATTTTAAAAAGATATCATATTTAATAATTAAAATATACTCAGTATTTAGTATAATAAAAACAATTTAATATTAAATTATTATTATATAACGATTTGAACTAGAACTTTTATCAAAATGTAAAAATTAAAAGGTTTCGTATATGAGTTCATGGATTAAAAATGATTTTGTTTGAATAAGTATGAAAATAATTTTGAAACTAATGGGATGAACTTAGTGTGTAGAGTGGAGTTAGGCGGCGTTCCGTTCAACTTAGTTTTTATGCTTATTACTTAGATCTAATCAGATCAAATCATACCAAATCAGATTAGACCAGATCACATTAGTCCAGATTAGATTAGATCATACTAGATCTAAAAAAAATTAAGATTATTATTATTATTATTACCATTACTATTATTACCAATATTATTAGTAATATTATTACTATTACTATTATTATTATTAACATTATTATTGTTACTATTATTATTACTATTATTAATAATATTATTTTTATTATTACTATCATTATTATTACAATTAGTGTTATTATTATTACTATTATTAGTATAATAATAATAATAATAATAATTATTATTATCATTATAGTGTTTTAGGAAATAAGACATTTCAATATTGAAAACTTCTAACTATGCCAAAGACCTTGTAATGCAACGACATAATTATTGTGGATATCTCAAGTAAGAGTTCATAGGTTTGAACTCTTATGGAGACAATACCTCTTTGAATTTCAATAGCTTGAAAAAACGGCACTCGATATTAACATATACAGAGTACTACATTGTAACAACGTTATTAGTGTGGCAAGAAGTATACGCCAAATCACAAAGCAAAACATCAAATCCAAAGGCCACTCTTTAGCACAGAACCATAAATGACTTTGAGCTTGTTTAGAGCAAAAAATATGTCTACGGAATATCAATTTATCTAAAAAACACAACATTTTATTTCGAAAGACATTGAGCTTACATAGATGTTAGAATATAAGTGAATGTATATGACTTGCAATCCCAATGCAAGCACACTCTTAGCGCTCATGGCGACATCTATTAAAGGCATTGCAACCACGATTATATGTGTTAGGTATCTCGGTTGGTACTTTGATTACATCAACAAATTGCGGTGTCGGGTTGTTGCCCTTAGTTAGTTGTGGCTTGATTACATCAATAGATTGTGATGCTGAATTGTATTTCTTAGGTAACTGTAACAATAGCTTTCTGTCTCCGAAGTACCCATTTTCCTCAACTGCTGTCGAGAAAGGTGCGCATATAGCTAGAGCCATGAGAACGAAAATAACAACTCTTAAGTTTGCCATTTTTGTTCTCAAATGACGATTGACAATGCCTTTTAATAGAGAATATACACTTCTCTTATTAATTGCGGACAGATCAAATCTGTGTAGCTCAATATTTATTTTTCCTCCATTTGCCCAAATTTATAGTCTTAAACATTTAGTTGTAGAAACGAATTTAGAGGAGAGCCATACAAAGATTTTAAATGAAAGTTATAGATATGTGCAACTCCATATAGGTAGGAAAAAAAGTTTATCACATGTGGGTGTAGAAATTCAGAACATGTGGTGATACAAGCATTTTAAATGAAAACTATAAAATAAATGTTTGTCATGCCTTATAGTTAGGAAAAACGTTTATCATGAACCGTGGAAACTCTCATTTGTAGACATGTGATGAAACATTTTTATACTATCTCCGTCCTAAATTAAATTATCTTTTGATTACATACATACTTCATCTGTCTCGAATTCATTATCCTAATTTGACCTTACGAAATTTCAAAAAGTATTAAAAAATAAAAATTCGGTGATCGGAATTTGTTTAGAAAAAAAGAAAAAGATTGTGATCATATATTCTATATTTTATTAGGCAAGTAAGAAAATAAGATAATTACTTTATGACGGACTAATAAAAAGGAAATTAGAATGATTAATCTCGGACGCTTTTTCTCGTTTTGTGTTTTGTGCATTTTTCTATTCTTAGTTCTAGATACGGATTAATCTTGGACGGTGAGTTTAGTGTTTTAGGAAATAAGGCATTTCAATATTGACAACCCCTAATTAGATAACCCCTAATTAGAGGTGGTAATTGGATCGGTTGCGGTTTGGAATATTTTGGCTTGAATATCTTTTGGATATATATTGTAATCGGTTCGAATCGATTCGGTTTAATTTCGATTTGTGTTTAATTTGGTTCCATACATATTTTCAGTTTCGGTTCGATTCCAGATTGGTTCAGATTCGGTTCAGATCGATTTTGGTCCAGATACATTCTAGTTCAGATACATTTTGATTTGGATATATTTCGATTCGGGTACATTTCAGTTTCGGATATGTTAGAATATAAGTTATTTTTGAATTAAAATTTATTATTTGTTTATTTTTTGTCATATAGCATTTATCAATTTATCATCAATTATATTAATCATCTCATATTATTTTATACTTCCTTTTGTTCTAAATATCTTCTATTTTTATCTTTTTAGTCATCTTTCATAAATTTAAATTACGAATTATGACAGAAAAGTATATTTAGTTCTAATTACCAAATTGGATTACCAAATTGGCAAATTACATACAATTTGGTTAAAATATGTTAAAATTGAGTAAAATTGAATGCAATAATATAAAATTTGAGTAAAATTAAATGAAATTCAAAACACATGTTTGGCCAACCACACAATATTGCATGGAGGGGTGAACAAGTATTTTCAACCGTTCTCTAGTTTGGAGAAATTTTAACTATCATTTTTATGTAAGTAATATAAGTATATAACTAGTTCAAATTGTAAAATAACAATTTGAAATCATACTAATATCGGTGGGGTTCTAGTGACACCGGAGAACGGTGCCACTAGCGCTGCCACTGCATTTTTGAGGCACCTCCGGTGATCCATTCATAAAATTGACGGTTTCTACCCCCCTAACCCACCCCCTAAATCCCCCATCCATGCACTACCCCCACCCCAACCCCGCCGTAAGCCCCCAACAAAATTTGCATCCGTTCCGTTCAACTTATTTTTTCTGATCTGATCTGATTTTAATAAGTTCTGATCTGATTGGATCTGATATGATCTGATCTGATTGGATCTGATTTGATCTGATAGGAACTCATCTGATTGGATCCGATCTGGTCTGATTAATTATGATTTGATTTAAAATTCAAATCAATAATTTGATTTGACTTTGTAATAACGTTTGAAAATTGTAATGATACTTCATATTATAATATGATCAATATTTTTTATTTTATGATTATTTTTTAATAAAATAAAATTAGTTAATTCATATATTAGAATAATCATTCATACTATAATGTAATAATATTTTTTATTTTATGTTTATTTTTTTTGTGAAATTAGATTATTAATTTAATATTTTAATAATTACTTCATATATACATTAGAATAAATATTTAATTTATATATATACATTAAAAAGTAATTAAATTTAGATAATCAATATATAAAAGAGATAGTATTTTTATTAAAATATCTCATCCTTAAAAAAGATCAAAACTTTAGAAACTCAAATTACAGGTAGCAATAAAATTGTACTTTAAAAGTAGAATTAGATTGACATTGTCAATGTATTTTTAAAATAATTTTTTCTGACGTCTAATAATTAAGGATTACTTTCTCAGTTTTCTATTTAACTTGTTTCTAAAGTTTATTCTTTTTCATTTTTAAGAATAATAATAATAATAATAACAATAATAATAATAATAATAATAATAATGATGATAATAATAATAATACTAATAATGATAATAATAATAATAATTCTTCACGGGATCAGATCAGATCTGATCTGATCTTATTGGATCTGATCTGATTGGATCTGATCTGATTTTAATAAGAATAAGAAAAAACAAGTTGAACGGAATGGGGCCGTATTAGGTTTAAGAAATCTACCTGGATAGGAGCAAAAAACCCAAAATATTGCTACTAGGCACCCCTAATTTTGTTATAAGAACTGCTAGGTATTCCCAATTTAAAAAATATACTGTTTGAACACATAAGAATGGGAGCCCTTCCTCATTTGCTCCGTTAATTTTATCATCATCATCAACCTCATATACATAATCATCATCATCAATTCATAACTTCTTCTTCTTCTTCTTTTCCTCATCCGATCCAAACCCCCCACCTCTCCCTCTTTTTTCTTTTATTATTATTATTAAAACTAAATATTGTTCTACTACTCTAATTCTGAAAAAATACTAGTGCCCACCAAAAAAATTATATACCCCCAATAACCTTTCCCAACCTCCACTTGGGTAAAAAAAGGACTAAAGAATTTTAAATAATATAAAATTAGTTTTGATGATCAATTTATGTATAATTTATGTATTTAAAATTGTTTACTGCGGTATTTAATTAGGTATAAAATATATACAGTACGTTATAGTTTAAAATAATAAGATGAAACTTAACACTATTTCTATCATTAAACACCACGAAAGTTAAATTTTTGTCATTATTAAAATTTAACACTATTTTTTTCATTAAATTACATAGTGTTAAATTTCATCTTATTATTGTGAATTATTACATACTATCTTTGTCCCAAAATTATTTTTATACTAATTTTTAGATAAAATCATATTTAAAAATATGAGACTTTACACATTGTTAGAATAGTGTAAGTAGATTTTGAATAATGTGTAAAATCTCATATTTTTTAAATTCCAGAGTAAATAATTTTAAATGTATAAATTATACTATAATTTTTAATCAAATTTGGGACATGGGGAGTACATAAATTGATCATTAAAACTAATTTTTTATTAAAGATTTAAAATGCTTTAGCTAGTCTTTTCTGTTTTTCACCCATGTAGAGATTGGGAAAGCTTATTAAAATTTTTTTGGTAGGGCGTTAGTATTTTTTTAGAATTACAGTACTAAAACAATATTACTCAAAAAATAGTAACACAATAATTGATTTTACTAATAATAATAATAACAACAACAACAACAATAATAATAATACAAGAAAAAAAGGGGTGGGGTGGGGGTCTGTAAAATTTTGATAACTGAATGACTTGGTTGTATTATTGATACCAGAGGATATATATACAAGTTACAGCTACAAGCCCGATAAGATAGGCCCAATGAGATACAAAATATACACAAACTAATATACATAAGAATATACGCTAACACTCCCCCTCAAATTGGAGCATAAAGATCAAAAATGCCCAACTTGGACAAAAGAGAACGAAAAAGAGGACCGGGGAGCGCCTTCGTGAAGATATCAGCTGTCTGCAACCGCGTAGGAACATAAGCTGTGACTATATGAGCGCGCTGTATGCATTCCCGAACTATATGACAATCGATATCGATGTGTTTCGACCGCTCATGAAAGACCGGATTAGCCGCAATGAAGAGAGCAGACTTATTATCACAATACAAACGCGGAGTAGCAACACAAGGGACCTGTAATGCCGCCAAAAGACCACGGAGCCACCGGATTTCGGCGCAGGCATTAGCCATGGCGCGGTACTCGGCCTCTGCAGACGAACGTGAGACTGTAGTTTGCTTCTTAGTACGCCAAGAGATAGGGGACCCACCAAGAAGTACAAAGTAACCAGTGACGGAGCGACGAGTGAGCGGGCAAGTCGCCCAATCTGAATCAGAATAAGCCGTCAAAGTCAGGTCACTATCCCGACGAAGGAGGATACCCTGTCCTGGATGCCCTTTAAGATACCGGAGAACACGAAGAGCCGAGGTCCAATGGTCTAGACGTGGAGCCTGCATAAACTGAGACAAGGCATGAACAGCATAACAGATATCCGGCCGAGTAATGGTCAAATACAACAAACGGCCAACAAGACGACGATACTTGGCAGCATCCCGAAGCTCAGCACTAGTAGAACGAGCTAGATTGTGGTTGCTGGGCAGTGGGGTGTCGACAGGCTTGCATCCAGAAAGATTGTGCTCCTGAAGAATGTCTAAGGTGTATTTTCGCTGATTAAGCACCATACCAGTAGAAGATCGAGCACATTCTATACCCAAAAAATAAGAGACCGGTCCAAGATCTTTGAGCTGAAAACAAGCATCCAAGTACTTCTTAAAAGAAGTGCACAAAGAGGGATTATTGCCTGCAATAAGAATATCATCCACATAAACAAGAACAACAAGGATATCAGGGCCACGACAGAGAACAAAAAGAGTATGATCTGCATGGGCCTGGCGAAAACCATACTGACGCAAAGCTAGACGAAGCTTGGCAAACCAATTACGGGGAGACTGACGGAGCCCATATAAAGACTTTCGCAAACGACATACTTTCCCAGGAAAAAAATGAGAGTATCCAGGTGGGAGCCGCATATAAATCTCATCCTTAAGATCCCCGTGTAAAAAGGCATTATTGACATCCAATTGGTCAACCTGCCACCCGCGTGCAACCGCGACAGACAACAACACCCGAACGGTAGCCAACTTGGCTACGGGGGCAAAGGTATCAGTGAAGTCGACCCCCACCTCCGGATGATTTCCCAAGACAACCAGACGTGCTTTATCCCGCTCTTTAGTACCGTCAGACCGATATTTAGTACGATATACCCACTGACAACCAAGGGCCCGCCGATTAGGAGGCAAATCAGTAATCTCCCAAGTATGATTACGCTCCAATGCATTGAATTCCTGAGCCATAGCTTCCCTCCAAGAAGCAAACCTGACTGCTTCTCTATATGAAGTGGGAACCGGAGAAGCATCTAGGGCACCAACAAAGCTCTTGTACCTGTCATGCAACTTATTATAATGAACATAGTTAGTAATCGGGAACCTGGTACCAGACGAGACGGAGCTAGGTGAAGAGGAAGATGGAGTGACGGTAGACACAGAATGAAGGACATAATCATTGAGGTGGGTGGGGAGGCGGCATGTGCGGGGAGGTAAAGGAGGCGGAGACGGTACTGACGAGGTAGGGGACTCGCCCGTCGACTGAATACTGACGAGGTCGATGGACTGTTCGGTTGTTGGGACAGAAGAAGACGGGACAATGACGGGAGACGAACTGGACTGCTCGGGGGTATCGCCGAGGGAGGCAGCCGGCGGAGAAGGAACAGGGAAGTCGGCGTCGGCAGGATTTAAAACTGGTTGGACTGAACTGGTGGTGTTTGGGATGGAGAAGGGGAATTGTGATTCGTCAAACACAACATCCCTAGCGTGGAAAAACTGATGAGTATCCAAATTATACACACGCCACCCTTTTGTTCCATATGGATACCCAAGAAACATGCACTTCACGCTACGGGGTGAAAATTTGTTTGGAGGTTTCGGTGTCTGACGGACAAAACATAGACAACCAAACACCCGTAGATGACTTAAATCTTGGGGTTTTGACGAAAGGACTTCAAGAGGAGATTTCCCACCCAAGAGTTCTGTCGGTGTCCGATTAATTAAGTAAACAGCAGTTTTGACACATTCCCCCCAAAATTCAACTGGAAGAGACGCCTGAAACATGAGAGAACGAGCAACGTTGAGAATGTGACGATGCTTACATTCTACCCGACCATTTTGCTGAGGAGTACCAACACACGATGTTTGGATACAGACACCCATAGACTCATAATATTGGCGCAAAGGTGCATTGAGAAACTCTGTGCCATTATCAGACCGGACTACTTTGATGATTTTAGAAAATTGAGTGTGAATCATGGTAAAAAACCGTTTAAGACAAGCTATTACCTCACTTTTAGTATGAATAAGATACACCCAAACAGCTCGAGAAAAATCATCAACAATTGTGAGAAAATAATGAGCACCAGAGGACAAACACGGAGAATAAGGACCCCTTAAGTCACAATGAATTAAATCAAAAATTGCTTCAGCTTTATTATGACTAATAGGAAAAGAAGAACGAGTTTGTTTAGACAAAAAACAAATCTCACAAGTTTGAAGTTTCTTGACAACAGAACCAGACTTATTGAACTGTAATAAAGAAATAATATCTGAAGAAGGATGACCCAAATGCTGATGAAGAAGCAAAGGATCCACGTTAGCCACATTAGCCGACGCAGAGGAAGGAACCAAGATGTATACTCCGTTTCGCTTTTCACCCTGTCCAATCACCATCTTCGACGAACGGTCCTGGATTACACAACTAAAATCATTAAAAGTTACATAACAAGTGGTGTCTCGAATCAAACACCCAACAGAAAGTAAATGACAATGCAAGGAGGGAACATAGAACACATGATGAAGAACCAGACTAGATGTCACACGGACACTCCCCCTTTTAGTAGCCTGAATCCGGGAGCCATCGGGGAGACAAATAGGATGAGAAGATACATCCTCAACATTAAACATGTGTGACAAAGTACCCGTCATGTGATGTGAAGCACCGCTATCTATTATCCAATCACAAGAAGAGAGAATACCAGAGTAAGTGTGCGATGCGGAGGCTTCCAGCATAGACATAAGGCGACTCATCTGACCACTGAGGGAAGACTGCGCGTCACTCGAAGCTGCGTGCACTGCCGCGGGGGGACCACTGCCGGTGGTGGTCACTGCAGGCTGGCTACTGCCTGGAACAGCAGCGGGAGTACCACCGGACCCGCGCCCACCATGACCACCGGCTGAACCTCCCCCACGACTTCCACGACCCCCACGGCTGCTGCCCGAAGAACCACGACCACCGGGACCTTTGTTATAGTGAGTGGGAAAACCAATAAGTTCATAGAAAGTTTCGACCGTGTGACTAGTCCGACCACAATGTGAGCACAAAAATTTGCCGGTAGGAGGTGGACGGCGATCGGACCGTGCAGCAAAGGCCACTGAGTCGGTGCGATCGTCACGAGAACGAACAATAGACTGGTGACGTTCCTCCTGTGAGATCAAAGAATAAGCTCGATCAATATCCGGCACAGGTTCGGTAGCCATAATTTGCAACCGAATATGACCAAATTGTTCATCATCAAGGCCGAGGAGAAAATCTATGGTTTTATCCCGCTCCACCTGCGCACGAGTAATAGCGGCAGCCGCACACTTACACCCATTTGTGGGATCCTTAGAACCATGAAGCTGATTCCACAACGTGATAAACTGATTAAAGTAGGAGACAACACTTTGTCTTTTTTGCCGTAAGGAACTCAATTCGGACTTCAACTGGTAGATGCGTGGTCCATTGGAGCAACTATACCTCTTTTGTAAATCATCCCATAATTCAAAGGCAATAGTATGAGACACAATACTCGGTTGAATAGACTCATCAACACTGTTGAAGATCCAACTACAAATTATCTGATTATTAGCATACCAAGCAGACAGCTCATATTCATCGGTGGGTTTTGGAACCCCTACGGATGACAAAAAAACAGAATTTCCACGACCTCCAAGAGCGTTGCGAATCGCTTTTTCCCATATGTCAAAATTATCACTTTTCAGCAAATATTTAGTGAGAGAATTACCGGGACCTTCGGAAGGATGGAGATAATATATGGATGAAGGATCGTGAATCTGTTAGAATAAAAGACCAACGCTAGAGGGGGGGTGAATAGCGTTTGATCGGAGAAATCGCAGGAATTTAAAAATTAAAAGAGAAGTAAAGAGAAGAGTAAAAGGCACACCGAATTTTACCCTGGTTCACCACAACTTGTGGCTAATCCAGCCTCCCGAGAGACTCTCTCGAGCTACACCACTATCTCGTTAAGCTTGCGGGTGCTTAACAAACCGTTACAACTTGAGAGTTCGAGTCACACGAACCTCAACGAATCCTTCAAAGGAAACAGACCTTCCTTTGAATCAACGAGAGAAATACTTTCTCTCAACGTGTCTAAGAACACAAGTACACTCAAGAACGAGACTCTCTTGTAGAGTAGATTATGAGTAAACTAAGTACGCTCAAGAACAACTCAACCTTCACACACAAATGGCTCTAGAAAGCTATGGAAAATTATGATATTTGAATGCAATGAAAGTATGGATGTTGTGAAGTGAATTGGTGAGAAAAGCAGACCCAAACACCCCTTTTTATAGTGCCAAAGAAGGCTCCAACGGACCAATGCATTAAAGGGGTGATTAGCTTGATATATGGGATTGAAAAGATTTGGGATCTGCAGAATATTGGCTTCCCATCGATGTTTAGACTCAACCATCGCTGGTAAGCCAATTTTT